CTAAAATCAAATGAATAAAAATTTATTCTAAGAATTATTAACTTGATATTTCCATATATTTATACACGTTACGTAATATGTATTTGAAAAGTTTTAATTATTATTTAAGAGATTCTTATATATTAATATACTGATCAATAATTTACAGCTTTACCTAAAGATGTTCCACCATACAGGTCAGAAACTTACGAACCGATTAGAAGACGCGAACCATTACCTTATCACTTCTGGATGGAAACTAAAGAAGCCGCACCAGATTTCACCTTCTTACTTCGTCCTCGAGTTATGCAGGCTCGAGATACTTGTAAATTACTTTGTTGTTTAAGTGGCAAACCAACACCAACAGTCAAATGGTACAAGAATAGTAAAGAATTATCTAGATATGAATATACAATGACTAACTCGGATGGTGTTGTTACAATGGAAATTGTTGATTGTAAACCAGAAGATAGTGGAAAATACAGATGTGTTGCAACTAATTGTCATGGTACTGATGAAACTAGTTGTGTCGTTATTGTTGAAGGTAAGTTTATTTGAATAAATTTTCTACAATTTTTCTTATATTTATTATATTTGTACAAATACTATTTCTGCAATATTCATTTTATTTATTATATATTTAACTAGATTTCATTAACCATAAATTTACATTAAAACTATAGGTTCTGGAGAAACTGAGGAACAAGAACAATTGGCCCATGATCTATTACATTCCGGAGGTAATTTAATTTAATCTTTAGTTGATCATTTAAATAATAAGTATAATGTAAAAAATATATAAAATATTTAATATAACTTTATTTAATTTTGAGTTATGAACGGAATACAATTAAATTAAATTAATATCTGTTGATAAATTATATTTTTAGAACGCCGATTCATAGAAAAGCCTTTAAAACCAGCACCTTATCAACCTATAACTACTACTCTTATTAGATCAACGCCTATAGTTCCATTTAAGCCAGGTCACAGTTCAATAGATAAAATTCCAATTAACGAACGTGAATTGCATCAAGTAAAACAACCAGATTTTCCTATATCAGTGACTAAAGAAACAGTCCAAGAAAAGCCAAGAATAACCTCTGAGGAAGTAGTACCAGAGACGAAAGTTTCAAATGAATCTTCCTTAACAAAGACAGATAAAAAATCTAAAAAAGATGTTGATGGAGAAGAAAAATTAGGTAAAGATAAAAAACCGATTAAGAAATATGGAACAAAATTAGATAAAAATGGCAGCCCATCAAGATCAAGAAGCACAACAAAAGAACTGATCCGTAAGTAATTTATCAATTTCTTTACAATTCTTATTTTTTATATAAATAAATTAATATATAATCACCTCCTAGCTACTCCCGATGACGCTTTAATGGGGCCACCAATATTTACTCAAAAACTTGATCAAGAATTAACTATTACTGATGGTGCAAGGCTTGAATTATCAGTAAAAGTTGAAGGAGATCCTGAACCCCAAATCACTTGGATGAAAAATGAAAAAGTTGTTGCGTCATCGGAAATTATTGATTTGAGGTACAAAGGTGGTATAGCATCGTTGACAATTACTGAAGTCTTCCCAGAAGATGAAGGGGAATATGTCTGTACAGCCACCAATAGTATTGGAACTATATCTACCGCTTGCAATTTAAAAATTAACTGTAAAAGATTTTTAATCGTTTATATTTTAATAAAAACTATTTATTTTAAATATTTAATTGAAATAATTTTATACTGTATTAGTAGCCGAAAAATCACCATCACCGCCACAAGTAGAAAATAAAGATCATGCTCCACAAATAGTTGATCACGTTAAAAGTATGGCAGTCACTGATGGTGACGCAGTGACGTTGAATTGCCGTATTATCGGAGCCAACAAATTTGACGTCGTTTGGCTACATAACAATAAAGAGATCAAACCGAGCAAAGACTTCCAATATACCAGTGAAGCAAATATATACAAACTCATCATAGCTGAAATCTTTCCAGAAGATTGTGGCACATATACATGCGAGGCGTTCAATGATGCGGGTGAAAGTTTCTCATCTTGTACGCTTAACGTTCTTGGTATGTATTTTTTTCAAATTTCAAAAAACCGAAAAATAGTTAATATAAAATGAGTTTTATACTTTTACTTTTATTTTATGTATAGTTCCGAACGAGGAACCCAAGAGCCCAGTGTTCCAGACATTCCCGCAGTCGGCGACAGTAACAGAAGGAGAAGCTGTCAATATTTCGTGCAAATTCGACGATGTGCCCCTTAAAGGTATATCCAATTTATAAATGAAATTGTTTATAATTGTATTTTTAATTTTTAGATTATTTTTTTAGTTCAAACATTTATTATGTTAATTAGTTTAATATAAGATTTTATTGTTAATGCCGAAATATTTGCAAGTGTAACATATTTTTTTTCATATTAATTTGATTGTGATATAAATGAAAATATTATTTTTAATTAGTACCATATTTTAATATACATGTTTTCTTTAATTATTTCAATAGTAACCTGGGTAAAAGATGGTAAACCAATAGACGAAAAGAGCTCCAGATACCGGTTCAGTAAAGATGGTGAAAATAGTTTCAAGTTTGGTATTAAAACAACAGCAATAGAAGATATTGGTCAATATACGGTTCAATCGGTTGGTAAAAAAGGAGAAACACACGCGGCATTTTCTATTAACGTTATTTCGATAAGCGAAAGTGTCTAAATAAATTAAAATTATTTATTATGTATAAAAAGTACGTACGTGCAAACGCCTTTGGAAAGTTTTTTATATACAAAATTGTTGACATCATATTTAAAACTGCGTACGTGTTATTGTACAGCGACAACGATAAATCTTTCTCAAAAAGATAAATCGATATTCGCATATAAATAATGTTTGTATCTTATTTGTAATGTTTTTTCTCACAACCTTAATCGCTTTGAGATATATTACAACAATACTATTCATTTTCGGAGTTGCAGCGTCGTAAATTTTAAAAGATGAATGATGTGTTACATTATATAATAAAAATAAATTCTGAAAAAATAAAATTGTATTTTTTATATTTTTTACCAACCAATGCTTTCTTGAATAAAATTTGGCTATACGCTTCAATAATAATATAACAATGAAAATACAATGCATTCACAATAAATAATAGCTTTATTGCTTCTTAAAAATACATTGATGCATATATTTATATTAAAAATGTTATTACATATTATTTTATTTTTAACAGTATTTTCGATATTGCATAATCATAAAGTTAATATATTATATTTTCTTTAATTTGTTAATAATTAACTATAAATGTATTTTTTAAACAAAAAGATATAGTATTAGTAGAGAAATTCAACTCATCGATTTTAGGATAAATTGTATTTATTTCAACTTTTTTAAAGTAAAATTTATGATATAATATATTTAACAAAGGAAAATTATTAATTGCTTAAAAATAATTTCCTAATCTATTAAAAGAATTTTCTAATCTAATGTAGGTACACAAAACAAAGTATGTATAAAATAAATCTACATCAAAGGTAATTTATATTTATAAGTATTTTTTATGACATATAGAAATATAATGTACAAAATTCTTATTAAATTTATATAAATATATAACTAGGAGTAACTAAAATTTGAGTCATAATCAATGCACTCAATATAATTTTTATAAATATAAAAGATATTTTTTACGCTCGTATTAGAAAAACATAAAAGCCTCAAGAATACGTAAATCTTCATGAATAAATCAATCGTAAATCAAATTTTTTTTAAGTTCTACTAAAATCCTTGTTTTTATCATAATTTTGTTCTTTTCTGATATATTAAGTCTATTGTATAGAGCTTTAACTTCATTTACATATTCACTAAAAAATATTTTCTATCATCTACAGTTCTAATAAATAAGTAAAGTTTTGATAAATTTTTGCTGTATTTTCTTTTGATTTAAATATTACGTATTGTTATTTTTATACAGAGTATATTTTAATATTTTCAAACCATTTAATTTATTAAGAGGATCTATATGATTAAACTACAATTTATACAATATATAAAAAATTTTTATAATGTTATTGTAAATTCTCAAAGTTTATATTTAGTTAAAAAAAATTATTATACAATTTTACAAAATAGAAAAAAATACGTATATATAAGCAATTTATAGTTCCTTTTGTATATCTCTATCATATAGGTGAATTTACAATATATAGTTCTGTCAAGATAACTTAAGATCTATAAATGCATATAAAATATCAATCAAAATTAAAAAAAAATTTTTATTCTACCAAATTTAATTTAAAAATGTATTAATAAAATAATTCTAAAATTCATTAATAAATCTGTCTTATTTTCAACAGGGTTCATCTTTAAAAAAAAAAAACCTAATGAAAAATAAAAATTGTTTTGTACAATAATTGTATTTAATCATGACTATTAATATTATTAAAATAAAAAACTCTGGTAAATAAATATAACACGTTTGATATAAAACTGGTACTTTATTTACTGAAATAGCCTATATTATAAATTTTCATCCCTGGTAGGTACAATGTGTTCTTCGTGTTTTAATTGAAAATTTCTTCCTTGATTCTTTGCAAATGTCTTACAAAATTATTTAAATGATATACATATATAGTCAACAAATGTATTGAATACAATGTTTATTTATGAAACTAATTTATTTAGATTTGTATTTTTAATTAAGAAAAAAATTAAAATACAATGCTTCATAATTTATTTTTAAGGAAAAGCGCTTAATTTCTCGTATTAAATCCGCACAAGCGCATAAAAGCTAATGCAGTCTTAAAAATTTGTCCGCAAAGATTAGATTTGACGACTTTTATGATAAATCTTTATTTATTTAACGTCAAAAAAAAAAGTAATATTACAATTAAACAATTTAATTCATGAAAAATAATTTTGGATTTTTCATAGTACGTATCACATGTCACATAAAAATATATAACGATAGTATTAAAAAAAATTGCTAACAAATTATTTATTTGCTTAAATTTAGAATACCTTACGCCCATATAAAATTTTATTCTTAAAAGTAATTTAATAAACAGTAAAAAATATAGATCCAGGGACTTTTTATCTTTGCGGAGAATAAGGCATTCCCTGCAAAATACCACCATACCAGATATACTGTTTTCAACACATATGTATAAAAAGAAATGAAGTTCTAAAAAATATAAAACACTAAATGTATCGTCAGATCATTGCCTTGCATTATGTTCTGTTTCAAGTAAACACTCGCGAACAAGAATCCGAGCATGTTGTATTCCCATTTTAAGGCGCTCTGCTGCACTTCGACTACCAGCATATGAAAGACGAATATCTCTGCCAAGTTCTTCAATTATGACAAGCAGTTGAGTATACTTGCCCTGACCAGGCACTGTTGGAAAATTTATAGTACTTGATGGGCTAGCCTGTGCTACCTAGAAATTAAATGCACTTATTTAACACACATCTCATAAAAGAAAAAAATGACATTCCACAAAAACTTTTAAGATATTTTAAAAAAATGAATCTGACTTGATAAAATAAGTTATCATTTTAATACATTTTATGAAGTATAACTGATATTATAAAATTTTTAAAATACTATTTCTTATTTAAATGAAGAACGTAAATAGTATGACATAATTTAATCATTATACCTGGACTGTTTGCACATTTTGTAGATTCCTTGGGTTTGGCACAGTAATCACAGGTTCAGGAATTCTTGAAATTTCTTGTACCTTTTGTTGAGGTGGCGGTGGTGGTGGTGCTGGTGGTTGAGGTGGGTCACTGAGTTTTGTTATAGTAATTTCATTAAGTTTAGCCAACTCAGTTAGTTTTGCCATTTCTGCCATTTTCGAATATTCTGGAATTTTTGTTATATCATTTTGCATATTAGCCATTTTGATCATTTCATTCATTTTTGTTTTTTCATTCATTTTTGCTATTTCTTTTGCCATTTCATTTATTTGAGCTATTTCATTTAACTTTGTAATATCATTATATTTAGCCATCTCTGTCATCTTCACCATCTCATTTAATTTAGCAATTTCATTCATTCTCTGAACTTCATTGATTTTCGCCATCTAATAGGAAAAAAATATTAAAAATATTATATACATTTACAAAAAGGTAATAACAAAAACTTCTTTATTAAAAATACCTCATTCATTTTTGCCATTTGAGACATTTTCATCATTTCATTCATCTTTGCAAGCTCATTCATTTTTGTAATATCACTGTATTTTGCCATTTCAGAAAATTTAACCATTTCATTCATTTTAGCCAATTCTGACATTTGCATCTGCATTTTCATATATTCAGTATTTTTCGCATATTCTGCCATTTTTTCCATTTCGTATCGCTTAGCCATATCCTGAGACATTTTATTTAGTTCTGTCATTTTACTAAATTCAGCAAGTTGAGCCATTTGAACGATATGCTCAGGTACTTTGCCTCGTTCCATCATTTGCTTAAGTTCAGCAGATATTTTGTTCATATTTAGCTCTGACATTTCAGCAATGGTTGCTGCATCAGGCATTTTTGAAAGCTCTGCTATCTTAGAAATTTCTCTAGCAAGATTCTCATCCAGACATCTTTTCTTTTTGGCTCGATGCCTTGCCATTCTTTGAGCTTCCTGCATTCTTCTCAAAGCTGCTTGTTCCTCTGATTCCTTGGCTCTTGAATTCTTCATCCTCTCAGCAGCCAAATACAATCTTAAATTGCGTTCTTCTAATGTTTCGGACATGGATATATAATTTTTTTTATCTTAAAATGATACACAAATTCCTGTTGCACTCAACCTAAAATATTGCTCCAATTACCAAGTGAGTCCTTGAACAAAAGAGGAACCGAACCTTTGGATGAATAGTTGCGGCTGGGGTCCTTACCTTTGCAAGACAAGAATCTGTATTTGCTCCGAATTTAAGGCATCTTTGTTCTTGTCGTACAGACACTCGTTAACAATCAAACACATTCTTACCGCAGTTTCGAATAACGAACACAGGTGACCAGGGAGCCGTTTGTCAACCACCTACCTCTGAGTTGCACTCCTCTTCTCCTTGCTCTGACGATAGATAAAGTGGACGCGAAGGATTGAGATACACACGTATCGCGAGCAGCGTCTCAAGCCCTCACATTGCGCACAAACACGTAAACACAAGGAAAAAGCGGTGCCGTGGGTGCGATTATTGTGGCAGCGTCGCCGCGATTTTTTAAAAATGACGAATGTGCGCCCTCTCACGGGGGGCAGGGACAGGGACAGGGGCGATCAAGTATTTTTTTCCAGATTTAGAATCGGGTCAGAGATGAAAATGAGAATAAGGAACTTTACGATCTCTAGTAGTGGTAGTTTGGCTCCAGTGCGTTCTCGGTAAATAGATCGTATATTCGCAAAGAAACAAGATCTAATCGGCTTCTTACGATCGTTCCTTTGATGGGTTCGACAGCGTCGCCGTGAACTAGCCAGTTGTGCGCAGACTCGAAGTAAAGCAACTGTAGTAAGTACTGCGACTCCCGGGTCACGTACATGACGGGCGACGGCGCCAAATTTCCTTCGTTGACCGTGATTCTGGTCGACTATGGTCCGAATGTAGTTGCAACAAAAATACACGGTAAGGTAAGTTACGATTCGTCCTGTAGAAGGTGCAGATATACCGCGTTTCGACGTGTGATGTGTTCTGACCTCCGGCTTTCGCGTTTATTGACTATAACCCCTTCCTAGCAGCGCACCTCCTCTTCTCCCCTTCGGCAGCGTCTTTGAGTACCGGCAACTATGCGCGCGCGGCACCTTACTCCTTAGCTTGATTCGCGAATTGCAGACTTCGATTTCATTTAAGTATGCGGACAGGTGGCGTGTTTCTATATACCTATATGAGCGGCGCGCAGTAGAACGAAAGTATCTATTGGCTCACAAAAAGTTTCTACTCGCGCGCGCGCGCGCGTTTTCCTTTTCACTATAATGTCGCCGAAGTTCAAAGAAGTAGAGGAAAGGGATTCATTTGCCAACCGCTTTTTTTTCCTTTCTTCTTTTCCCCTTCCTTTGCACTCATCGCCGCTTTTTTCTCTTATAATACACACGCATCGTTATATTCTTACATATATACCACACATATTGTTTTATTTTCTCTTTATCTCCTGCTTGAATCCTTCTATAGGTTGGCTCTTCTACGTTCTGCCTTTACAACCGTGTAAAATTCCAAGCTATTCATAAAAATTCATTAAAATCTTTTAAAAATGAATATTCATTTAATACGTGACCTTTATATTTACATTGGTGAATTCGTACTATATGTATTCGTTCCCATAAAAAAAATTATTTACATTAATAAATAAACAACATTGTTATATTTTATGAAAAATAAGATTTATTGTGCAGATTGTAAAAAGGTTTAATATGAGTAATATCTTCCAAATTATTATTGTGATGTACGTTACAATAGTAATTGTATTAAGGTAATAAATGCTAAAGTAGTTTTAAATTTTTATTTATACAAAATTTTCACTTTGAAAAATTATAACTCACACCAATGTAACAAATTTAAGAAAATTAAACAAAAATAATGTTCTATTCACGAATATTAAATACATAATACATAAAAATATATGGGTTTTTAATCTTTGTTCGGATTATTTATGTTGTTAGAAAAGTGTAAAAGTGAAAATTATTGGATTCAATTATTAATTTTTGCTTAAATTTTAAACTAACACTAAAACATTAAACATTAAAACCATTTAATTTAATTTCAAAAATTTAATTTTTTTAATTTTAAAAATTTTAAATTTACATTTAAATTTAATTTAATTGTATGGATGCAGATAAACAATTTATTATATTTATCGAAATATAATTTAATTTCTATTATTTTCTATACCTTCATTTTTGTAGATTATTTAATAACAAATTCTTATTCTTATATTAATGTTTATGATGTTTGAATTCGTTATATTTTTAAGAATATTGCACAATTCTGTATTCATATTTTATAATTTTAAGATGTTAAAATTGATAACTTTAAGTTTCTAACATATGTATGGATATAATGTATAACAATTTATATGTTACAAATATTAATAAGTCATTCAGAAGGAAAAAAGTTCTATTCCGAAGGTATTCAATTTTGTATGTTAACGTATAAATTATTGAAAAATTTTTTTAACTTTTGTATATTAAACAAAATTATAAGTTATTAATAATGACGGAATAATTTAATACGTTAAAAACAGTTTAATAGATTTAATTAAAAATGACAAATATATATATATATATATATATATATATATATAGAAAGAGAGATATATATTTAGTTCGAATTTAATATTAAGAATTTTTCTTGTTTATATACAAAATGATTATCTACAATAATTCTTATCGACATTACTTGCAAATCAATAGTGGTGCATGATCTAATAATGAATAAATGCAAAGGCATAGTGGTTATTCAGACTAGAATGCTACACCATTTTTATTTGAGGTATATTTCAACACAGTTCTACTTAAGGTTAAGTTCTAGTGCGTCCATATTAATAAGCGATGAAGTGCAAAAAAGCAGGCAGAGACCTTGCGAGTGAAAATATACAGAACAAGAAGAAAAAGCGACTTTAGTCTCAACATCCTATTTAAAATCGTGTTGATGCAAACTACCAGTAGTGGCTCATTGATAGAAGTTGCCTTGTCTCTATGAGACACATATTTTATGAGACACCAAATATTTGGCACGATTTCTGACTTGGAAGTCGGAGTTGTTTTATCGAACTTCGACTCTCCCGCGTACGGAAACCTCAATCTTTCCCGCGGCACTTAATTATTGCGAACAGTTGTATGTACTTGGCTCCAGTTTTGGGACTCATAAAATAATGAGACCGCTTGAGATCTGTTGACATGATATTAAAATCATGAGAGTTAAAAATTAAATGCCCTATTTGCTGGAGACTATATATTTACTAAAAAGTAAAATAAAAATTTCCAATTGTATTTTTAGGGACTTGTAACTTTTTAAAGGAATTCTAAATTCACATAATCTCATTCGGTTATTCCTTCATTCGCTAATAAATGCTATTACACTTTCTAATTTGCTTCCATTTAATCAGTTAATGTTTTAACAGTACAAAATTAATGATTCGATAAATAAATATCTTAATAATATGAAGTCATTCTTATATGCAAATACAATAAGGACTTAATAATATCATAATATTCATACAGAAATCCAAAAGTAAGATATTTAAAGTTTCAAAATTAACATATGATCTCCATATGGAATTTTCTGATAATGTAATGTTTTGCAAAAATTATTATATGTACGTATTTTTTTAAATGTCAAACCAAGTATGACATAGCTAAGCAGTAAAATATATTAAATAAAATATGAAGACAATAAACAATCTTTCTCTTTAAAAAATATAACTTAAAGTTAGACCATCAGTTATATACTTAACGTTTTAATATTAATCACCCGTTTATATTATGTTTTATTTGTCATATATCATTTATATGAAAATTACAATTTTAAAAAATATCTTGAAAAACTTTATGCTATATTAATTTAAAAAATAATTGATTTTAAGAGACAATACTCATTAAAGTAGCATTTTAAATAGAATTAGGATGCTATTCTATATTAATCAAATATTGTAATAATTTAGTATGAAAAGATTCAATATTTATGAAACTTGAATTATAATGTAATAAGTCAGTTGAAGCACTGGCAATATATATATTATAATTCTTAGTAAAAAAAAGTATAAAAACAATTTGTAAAGTACGTTTAAAAATGTCCGAATTTTTAAAATTCATAAAAATATTAAACATATAATTAAAAAGAACACTTAGTTAGTATGTAGATTTTACAAATTCATTTGCGAAATAGAATATTGGGTCATTAATAATAAGCCATTATAAGTTGTGTATTTTTTAAAGTTATAAGTAATACTTTGATATAAATTATAAATTGGAGAATATTTAGATTAAATTAGAAAAATATAAGCTTTAGAAGTATGTACACTATATTGTATTATAAAATTAATGTTGTTATTACTTTCAATATACAGATATGTGGACAGATATGTATTCCAAATAAATCCATTTTTTAAATCTCTTTAAAAGTTTTCTTTAAATCAATATTTTTAATTTCTGATATTAATGATATCAAGGACAGTAAATATTTTATAAAGCGATTTCGTAAAAAACAATCTATGAATTGTACTGAACACAAGTACTGATACAGTATTTAAAAGCAAACATTATATAAATTTCGTTCAATGCAATATTTTTACAAAACAATGAAATAATACTGATCATCCTCTTGCACTTGTTTTCTAAACAAACAAAAATTATATTTCTCCTTGCTGATATCAGAGGCAAACATTATAAATTATTAGTCTGCCAATGTTCATTGGCCTACTGTGCTGTTTTCTTTTGATGGTTCAAATGTGTCATACGTTATTAGTCAAGAAAATATCGGTTATGACGGTATTTATCGTCAACTATGTAGATTGTCAGTTCTGTCATGAATCCAACTTCTCATTTCATTTCAGTTTTTGTACCCACTGTCCAAATTCGACTGAGCTCTTGAGAATCGAAATAATTGTTTTTTTTTTTGCTTCTTTGCTAAAAAAAAACACAAACATTGTATCTTATAAATATATATTATAAATATTATAAAAATATTATAAATGGGTAAACTGTAAACAATTTTTACTTGCTGTTAGGTGAAATTTAAAAAGATTGATAAACTATTTTTGAAAAGACGCATCATAGGGCTGTGGAAATTTTTTGTCAATTTTTGTGAAATATTCGATCAGTTACTCTCAAAGTTAATATGCCCATCATTAGGAAATATGATTGATTTTCAATATAGAAATTAATCGTTTAAGCATATTACGGTCGTTGAACATATTTTATCAAACAAGACAAAACAATTGTTTAAATTGCATCGACATTTGCAGCGCATGCTCCATAAATCGTTGTTGATATAATTGTGATAGCTCGTGTAATGTGCAACGATGTTAAAATACTATGGACTATTTATTATTTGTATCTTTATCTTATAAAATTGGAATCCAGAACTTCTTATCGATAATCAACCGTGTAGAAAAATATTGTCCAACGTATGTTAAGAAATCACTAATTAGAAAAGAAGAATTTTACTAGTTTTATTGAAGATTGGAAGTAGATCGCGAATGCCGTAGGTACTTAGCACTACCTCAAGGTGGATTATTAATTCTTAAACATTATTATTCTTACATTTGTATAATCAAAATAAATTTGTCTATTTTTAAATATATTTTAATTTTCAGATTTAAAAATAATTAAGGATGTACATTTCAACTTACGAATACTACTTTCTTCTAGTTTTATTGGTGATTCCTGTATATTTGTTTTTTCGTTTATGGTCTTGGCTAGGATGGGAGCTTTTTGTAAATAATTAAATTACCAATTAAACAAATATAAAATTTTGAGATATTTTATAAATTAGTATAGCATAATACATAAAATTTATGATAATAAGTAGTTTATAATATTATATGTCAACTACATGTATGTAAAGCGATAGTAAAATATTCAGATTACTTGAAATCTTTCAGATAATATGGAAAATATTGTAATGACTTATTAAGACACCTGCGAGTAATAAATGAAAGAACAAGCATCATCTCTTTCTTGTATCTATATATTCATAACCGATTCAACTTGTCAATTGTAACTAAGATAAATATCTTGAATTAAAGAAAAATAAGTTTAAACGTTCTTAAGTTGTTGAGTATCTCATTCTATAAATATATATTAATTTGTATAAGACACACAAGATTCATACAATGATCTATTCGAAGATCCTTTTTAAAATATTAGTTCATAACAGAATAAAATTTTTTTTCTAAAAATAAAATTGTTTATAACACTATAAATAAATTTTTAAATTATGAAAATATTTTATTAAATACAAAATAATAAAAGATTTCAAATATTTACTAAAAAAATTTTCATTTTAAAATAAAACAACTTGAATTATATTTTATTTGTTATTGAAAGCTCATCAAGACCCATACGTCCTTGATGCTTCCAAATACGATATCGTGCGACATCTTTTCTGGTTATCATTCCAATAACTTCATTAATATCATTTACAACTGGTAAATGTCGAAGACCAAGAGCTCTAAATAATCTGAATGTTCTTGGTAATGTGGCAGACTAAAAACCAAATGAATAAGTTAAATATGAAGATAACATACAGTATAAAATATTTTTAAAATTAGATAAATAAAATTAATTTTACGTGTTTCAATATATAAGGTGAAGGATTCATAAAAGGCCTAAGATCGATAGTATACGTTTTTTCTTCTTCGGTGATATAAACTTCTTCAATAGTTGGATATCGTGGATATTCATCTCTAAATATTCTAATACTTACATCTCTGTCCCAAAACTCAGAATACTCGTTGAAAATCTTATTTTGCAGCACCACTATTAGTTGAGATCGTAAAATTAAGCCACGAATTCGACCGTAACAATTGATTTCGTCCTATAAAGGGGATAATATACTTGTTATTAATATTTCTTTATTAATATAATTTAATAACACTTATTACTTATAATATTTAAATTATACTTTTTATTTATGAAAATAAATAAGCTTTAATAAATAAAGTAAGTCTTCGATAACATACGTGATCTCCTGAAGGTGGATCAACAACTGGAAAACCATTGAAAGTAACACATTTCAACATTTCTATAATATGTCCAACATTCTCAGTAGTCTTCAGTGTGATTACAGGATGGCTCATAATTTCACTAGCATAAATATTATTTGATAAAGGTGGTGCTTCCCATGGTAGCAGGGGTATACCTGCCATTTGTATGTGAATATCATATATTCCCTATATAAAGTATAATTAAAAATTAAATGAATGTACTTTAAAAAACCGTTATTCATGCTTTAAATTAAAAACTTCCTACCTCATTAAAAAAATCTCCGACCCATTTTGCGGTAATTAAAACTATTATAATTGGTAAACCAAATGATATTCCTTGAGTGGCTTCAATAAGAATAGTTGTTAGACTAATTGTCATTCTCACAACTCCACCTAATTGAGCAGCAGCTCCAAGCAAAGCATATTTTCCAGGATCAACAAATGTCTATAAATAATACATATATATATATATATATATATATACAGTCTAATTCTATATTGAAAGTAGATAGATAATATATTTATTAGTAAAACGAATTATTTATTTAAAAAATATTAATTTTATTCGTCTAATATTCAAATAAACCATTTAAAACACTTAAACAATCGTTTGACTTACGCAGCTGGGGCATAATTTGGCAAATCCTGAACCAATTAAACGACCCCAAGCAGCTCCAATAAGTAACGAAGGAATAAATAGTCCACTAGACATATTAAGTCCAAAGGTACATACAGCAAGAATGAAATATAAAGGTATAAAAATTATTAATGTTAAATCATTATGTGAACCTAAAAAAAATAATTTATTTTCATTTAATGAAACTTAATAAATAAAGAATTAATAAACTATACCTATTGGATCATGGAATAATGAACGCACACTGCTTTCTGGAGTTTGGAACCATAATGCTGCAACAGCACTATGTTCTCCATTTTTACAATACATTTGAACAGGATTTTCTGTAGGAAACTGCTTTGATGATTTACAATCATCGATAAAAAATATCATAAGGAAACCCATTGTAGCACTCATCACAGCCACACAGAGAGCTTCAACAACTTTTAACCATTTAAATTTAATATACTTTACGCGAAAAAATGTGATTTTGTAGTTGATGTGATTCCAAAGGGATCCAAGTAGTCCTCCAATAGTACCCATGATCATAAATAATGGAATTTCATAAATTTTATAGCAAATGGTTTCAAATTTTCCGAAATTTAAAAGTCCTGGATAGGACAAATCTCCCAGATGTCCATGATAAGCACTGAGAATAGTATTGAGAGTAAAAGTTGAGATCATACTTGCAAAAAATGTTCTCCATGTTAAACTTTGATTAAAAAAACTTGTACCTTCTTCAATACTAAATAATACACCCCCTATAAATAATGACATTAATAAAAATTTTAAATATTTAAAAATGTAAAGCTTAAATAAACATTTCTACCAATAGGTGCACCAAATGCAGCTGATACTCCAGATGCTGCACCGCCAGATACAAAATCTCGTTTCTCATGATCCTCTCTAAAGTATTTGAAAATCCCTAAATCTCTTTTAAATGTTGTACTTTTACCTTGAGAAATTCCAGCTGCTACTACCGCACCTGCATGTATCATAGGACCCTCCTTGAAAAAAATAAAAGTATTATTTAAATTCTTTTAATATTATAAAATATAAATCGGAATGATTATATATGATTTATAAAATTTAGTGAATATTGATAATTTAAAAATCTTACTTTGCCTCCAGCAAGTCCACCAACAACAGTTACTATTACCCCTATAATTTTAACAACCAGTGTTTTTATTCTAACAACCCTAGGAATTTTAATTCCATTCAAATAACATTTAACTTGTGGAATACCACTTCCAGCAGCTACAGGCTCTATATAAGTTACTAATACTGCTCCAATTAAAACTAGTATGATATTTAAAATTGTCCACATTACATAAGGAATCCATAAGCAATTGCTTTCATCATTATATATACAATTATCAACAACTATGATAGAAAATTTTAAAGAAAATTTAGTTTATTAAATATTAGAATATAGAATTATATATATATATATATATAATATATATATATTGTACGAACATATAGTGTACTAATGTATAAAAGGATACGTTTTTTTAAATAACCATATTTTAGTTTTGATAGTTGTTCAATAGAAATATCAACAAAGCACGCTATCAAAGCTGTAAAAATACCTATTACAAGAAATATAAACCATCTTGCTATATTTTTTTTTACTACAAATTTATAACCTTTATTTCTTTCTTCATCTTGAAGTAAATTATTTTCACAGGGATCATAGTCAAGGCTCTATAAGCAAATTAAGAACTTATTATAATTTAATTTATTTCTATTATTCAATTATTAAAAAGTAAGTCATTAATTATTAAGTAGTATTATAAAATGATTGTTAAATAAAAATTCTCTTGCTTGAAAATTATGACCCATACCTCATAATTACTAGATAAAAAATTACTCGCTCCAAGGGTAACTTGTTCAGAATTAAATCTAATGGATTGTCGAGTCGAAACACTTTCTACAATATTTTGGAATGATCCAACAGATCTATAATCGATATTCTGTAAGAAAAAATTAATTGAACCAAAAATATTTTGTAAACTATTTAATAAAAGGAAAATTCGAAATAACATACTCGAAATCTCACGCTAATATCATCATTTGAATAAGATGGAAAATTATTTCTTGGCGAACTAACCGTTCGTGGCCTAATAAGCTTCTTATCACTGTCTTCATTATTATCGTCGTCGAGGCTGTTATTGCTAATACTGGCATTGATAAGGACATTTACGCGCATTGAAGGATCTGTTGTCATATTCCTTATTTTTAATTTTAAGGGTTATTAATCTTATTGTTGTTATTTCACAATTGCGACATAGACATATTTATTCTAACTTACAAAAAATATAGTCTTTCAATAGTATGTTAATGTATGAACGAAGTACAATAGTTACGAAGTAATTAATATTTATTAATTATATATGAATAATTAATAGTAAGTAATATTTATTATGGTTGTATATCCACAACGAGTAAGCATTATTTTTTATTCAACTATCTACAAAGAATAATAATCAACAAAATACAAATTTGAATCACGCGTAATGAAGAGCAATATAATGACTAAAATTTAGATGTAATTTTTATAAAAGTTGGTATCAATGAACAAATTTGTAATTAAAAAGTTGGAGGATTGGAGTACGAACTTACTTCAATAGCTGCATAATAGTATAAATAATGTTATGAGTAGCAAAAAGTAAATTTTAAATAATATTAAAAACTTTTTAAACTAATTTTTCTTACAAATTGTTTTTTCAATCTGATTTTCGATAGCACAAAATATATTGTGAACATATTTTTTATATTATATTTTTATAAATTTAAAAATATTCACTGAAATACATTAATGTACAATCAATTAAAATTTTAATTAAACGTTTAAACATATTTAGTGATGAATCCTACATTTTAGTGTCTCAGTGTGTGATAAAAAACGTAAAAGATAGTGCTAATAAAATAAAGAAAAAAGACATTGATCATGATATTGTTGCAGTTTTGTTGGTTAGTTTAGACGAACCGTCGTAGATTATAAGGTGTAAATTTACTTTATTAATTTCATGCACATTTACTGAGCAATCCAAATAAAATTTATATTCTAACTCCAAATATTTTATGAGCGACAGTACTTAGATTTCCTAATATATTATAGATCGTTTTACACGATTATGCAAAAGAGAAACTGTGTGGTCGTATCATTGACGGTACGTCTACATCCATACTTAAGCAGTTATTAATTATTGTAAATATAAGTAAACCATAAAGTAATATTCAACTAGATATTTTACATTTAATAATTATGAGTGTGTGTGTGTGTGTGTGTGTGTGTGTATGGATGTATGTATGAAAGTATATATTTAAATAAATTCTTCATCGTATATATTATCTTCATTCGTGCATATTAGCATCATAGTTAAATTCTATGGTGGAAGATTTATAACAGTCATTTAAGAACATTAAAGCAGATAGTAATGAAAAATTCCAACAAATCATATTAAGAATTTTTATACATTTATTATATTTCTTCAACAATATTATTTTCTAATTAATTATTTTTATTTCAATTAAGAATAAAAAGATTTATTTTATTGTTACTTAAGAATTCTTAAAGTTTTTTTATAAATAACAATGTTTATATTCTGGTAAAATATATATTTCTTAATGTGTTTGAAATATATAATAAAGAAATATAGAAGAAATATAAAGAAATATGGAATAATATAGAATAAAAGAAAGAAATAGAAAACAACTTAAAATATTATTATAATAGAATTTAATCATTTTTCTATTTCAGTAATTATTAAATCCTTGTTTTTAAATATCTATGTAAAAATTAGATTTGTTGTTTGATGAATATCTTAGAGGTAATAAAGTATTAGTTTATATTTGATTACCCTTGTTTTCACATTACTTGTTTTTACATGCTTTAAAATTAGATTCAAAGAATACAATTGATTAGTGTTCTTCTATTTTAACGTATTTTATATTTGCATGTACAAGAATTTGTACCTATTGTACATAAATATAAAAAATTTTCGTTTCACTTTGTGGAGATATTATTTAGATAAATTATTTAAGAAGTAGTATACTATAAAAAAATTTCTTTTCAAATTTCAAGAACTATTTTTATAGTTCTTTAAAGATTCTATTTATATTGAAGAATAAATAGTAGAATAATTTATATTTATATATATAATTCGTAAACAAAAATTATATAATACATACAAGGATGTTTTATTTTATAAGTTTTTATGGTTATTGCTGTTATATTTGTTATATAAAAATAGCCTTTTAAGAACATATAATAATATTAAATATATATATTTACGAATCGCTTTTCGAACAAATATAAGCAGTAAATATTTATTTTTATTAATAAAACAAGATTAGCGAATTTCTATACGCAAACTGTTGTTCATCTTATTATCATATATAACCTAATCGTTTGTGATGTCTCCTTCATTTTAATTAAAGATTTAGTTTACCTTTATATGCATGTACAAAACATGATATTTTTTATGAATATAACTATTTTGTAGAAGCATACACGTAAATATTAAATAATAAAATATTTAAGCTCTTTTGATTAAGTAATTTACAAGTAACCATAAAAAACAAAGTCAAAAAATGTATAGAAGAAAAGAAAACAAAATAATAAATAAAAGAAAGCAGAATCCGATAAAAATGTAGAAAAATGTGCCAAAAGTAAATTCAAATATTACCATTTAAAAGTTTATAGATGATAAATAAAAAATACGATAAAATTAACAAAAGGTTTATCAAAATAGAAATTATACTAGCATACATTGAAACCGACTTAATTTAGCATATAATAGTCGAATATAAAATCATTGTTAATATTTCCAGTTTAGTGCTGTAGAAAAACTTTTATAAATTGGTATTAAATTCTAATTTTAACAAGTTTTCGCGTATAATTACTGTAGTCATTAAAGAATAATATTCGTTAAATCTACATTATTTATTAATAATATTACGTAGTTAAAAATAAAAAAACCATGTTAGATTATTAAAAAGCTTGAAAATTAATAAAATGTTTAAATAATTTGTTAACTTACATTTCTTACAATACTAAAAATTAAAAAAACAAATATTTTTAACCGTATAGTATATTGAATAATTTAGAAACGCAATTTATTATATATAAGGAACAGCGACTATTTGCTTTTTGACACATATAGTTAATTTTATTTGAATTTGTTGCATTTCAATTTTAAATTCAAATTTGGAAACTAGTACAAATATTTCATTCTACAATGAAAATAGTCTAGAATAATTTTGTAGTAAATAACTCAAATTATTGAAAGATATAAAAAATTTGCACTTAAAGTAATTTCATTACTTACTGGTACATCCAAATTTCTTATTCAGTTGGATGAAAAAAAAGTACTAAGTCATAGTTACATATATATTTTTCAAAAATGTTATATTATCTATAAACGTATAATTGTCGAAATTATATTTTATTATTTATTATTTTATATGACTACTAATTTTCTTGTATGACAATTCTTTACTACTCTATATTATTTATTTTATTTTTAATACATAAGTATTTGTAGAAATTCAGGTTAATTGTATTTTCAAATGTATTGCAATACCCAACAATAATTAAAAATGTTTTAAAGTATAGAAATCTTGTCAGATATTAAGTAACATATATATATATATATATATATATATATATATATATATATATATATAGAGAGAGAGAGAGAGAGTAATTTTATCTAAATGATTATTCATATCATATATATATTTCAATAATTCATTAATGATTACTTAATTTATATACTATTACTACTATTTATATACACACTAACTATCTCCGTATGTTCTTCATCATATGTAGTAAACGAAATATATCATAGTAGAAAATGAATAAAGAGCAGAAATCTAAATGTGTATTAACTTGAACACGTTTTAATATGTAGTTGAAGGAAGATAATGTATAGACTGACTTAGTGAAATGATTAAGCGAATTTTAACATTTATGAAAAATGTCAGCCGTCTTTTACTTTGATTCATGAATAAATATGAGTTTATTTTTATTTAAAAATTTGTTCCAGTATATAGTATTTTTACCATTTGTTCTGTGACTAAATTCTTGTTCACCTTACACACGTTTAGTTTTTATTATTCCTATCTATATGAAAAGATAAATTGTAATTTTCAAAAGTACTTCTTTAAATAAATTTTTATTGATATCATCTTTATGCAATGAATATCTTGATTGCAATGAAAAAATCTGGATTATCGATTGATCACAAATAAGCCAAGAATTAGGGTCGCTGGTTCATTTATACAAATGTTGTTTTTTATTCTTCTTTAATCAAGGGAATGTGCATGTGACTGTTATATTAGAAAATTATTATATTCAATCTGATTCTATCATAATAGAAGCTTAATTATAATTAATTTGGGTTTATAACGACATTTAATATTTTAATAACTCTCTTTATACACATAAATTACATAAAAAATAAGATTTTAAATGAACTCTATATCAATTGCCACTATACCTAGCAGACCCATATTTAGGATTGGAAACTTAAACAGTTATACTTACATCACATCTAAATTAGAGTAGGTAATAATTAAAAGTAGAAAAATCGGTGAATATCACTGAAAAAAGGAATAAATTGCTTTTAGATATTTTAAGGTGTAGATACTTTATAATTCTTTTTATATATTTTATCTCTTTATGAATAATTCGAGAATGTATGACGCTATAAGTTAAGTTGCTAGATAATTTAGAAAAACAAATTTTACAATTTCTCAAACTGTTAAAAACTTACAAATAATATGCAGCTAATAAGTTATATACATAATTTTAAGTGGTTGATTATGCATTGTTTATCGATACTTAAAATTTCAAAAAAATCATTCTGTCAGTAAACAATATCTCATTCGACTGTATAAACAATGTTTAATTTTAGTTTCGTAAAATATTTTTTAACTTAAATTAATGTAGCATACAAATTTATATGCATGATATATATATATATATATATATATATATATATATATATATATATCTTTATATGTGTCTTTATAATAATAATGTTAATTATAACATATTTATGTTAATATAACAATAACAATGTTTATTTTACATTGTAAGTTATTTTTGTATTATTCATACAATTTTATATAAAAAAACTTATAAAAATATTTGGGGTTGATAAATTTAATTTAGTTATCTTATTTTTTCAATAATAATACACGAAAAAAATGATTTTCTTGTACAAAAATATGAATTATGAATTTTAAATTAAAAAACAAAATTCTATATTTTACAGTAAATATGAATTTTGATATTGTAATTTTTTATTGATATTAAATAATTTGACGACCTTAAATGAACAATGATACTATAAAATCATATAAATTTTAAAAAATTCAAAAGAATGACTTATAAATATTAAATTTTAGTGGTTCATTCGTCCATATTCCAGAATCTAAACATGTGAATGACAGAGTGAACGATGGGTGCAACAGAGAAAGAAGATAGAATTAGACTTGGCAGTAAGTTTTTGTTAGGTGAGTCCCCACTCGTGCAAACTTTTCTTGCTCGGTTTCTTGGCACTCGGCGCGGTTTATGTAGTTCGATAAAAATTCCAGAGATTCTAGTTATTAGTGCTAGTATTCTAAGATAAGGCTCTTTTTTTATTGTTTTTCAATACTACTGATTCAGTAGTAATCAGCTTCAATTTGTGTATTACAGTTTTACAAATAAGAAAAATACGCGAGCGTGGTCGTTTTTGTTGACGGTTCGTCTCCGCCCGGAGAGCAACATCGCCCATCCTTTTTCAACTTTCCAGATCATCTAGTTTGTGTAAGTACAGTTGTAAATAGAGAAAGTCCGAACGGAGATTTGTAAGCTGCTTAATTAGCGTAATAATAACGTGGGTCTAGTTCGAGGAGACCTGGAAAAATTATTTTTAAAGATGTATACTAATTATATATAATCCTGCTCTAGCTTTGCATACAACTCAAATACTAATTAAATCTTTTTATTAGGGATCAGTGCATTTTTTGGCTTAGTTGTATTATTGTTGCTGTCGATTTTGTTTCTGTTGCTGCTAGTGATAACTCTCTTGGTGACGTTACATATTTATTATTTACTAAATTAATTATCTACAGATCACAAATTGTTTACCATTATTAATTGATCCAAAAGAAGTAGGTCTTCAAATTTACAAGAATAACAGATTTTTTCTTTAATCTTTAACAACCAAAATGTTTGACATGTATAATCATCACATTAACAATATCCTATTAAAATAATTATAATAATGAAAACTTTGACTCTTCTGATCAATATTCATTCAAACATTAAAGTTATAAAAACTATTGAAGCTCATTTACTTTATTATATTTGTTTGAATGTATGGGAATTAAAAAAGTATATCCTTTTAATTATGATTTAAAAAAATTAAAAATAAGAATATTATTTCATTTTAACAATTATGTTGTATGTTTGTAATATGTACTATCATGCTAATTATTTTACTTTTTTATTATTATATATTAAAATATGAAAATGTATGAATATATATTATTTTACAGAATTTTCTATAATTTAGGTAATTTTATGAATAAAATTTACCAAATAGAGTTGAACATATGTCGTTTTTAAATCATTAATTATTTTAAATATAAATAAAATATAAAAAATATTAAGTTAGATATTTGGTCTTTAAGATCATGAATCTTTAAGATATTTTGAAAAAGATTTGAATTCATAATAATTTATGGTTATGTATTTCAGAAAGAAGTTTTAAAAGACAATCATTCATTTTAATATTCTCAGTTAATTATGAGTAATTTTATATATTTACTCTTTTAATCTAAATTCTTTAATGTTTATTTCATTTTTTACAGCTGTGTACAATTTTGTTGACACAGATCTATATAATATTTTTAACAAATCAATTCTTTTAAACCTGTTTTCAATTTATTTCAATATACATATAAAATTTGAGCTATAGTTTTCTCACAATATTAACATATTAATAAAATGAATGTATAAAAATAAAATTATCTTTCTTATTACTTATAACATTTTATTAAATCTCAAACAACTATGTATTCAATATTTATTTTACAATCGTATTTTTAAATGATAATTCCTATATGACAGACATTCAAGAAGATAAAAATTATTTGATAAATAGGAAAAATATTTTTTTTAATAATAAATTTGAAATAATAAGTTTCTAAATTACATTAAAGAAATTAGTATTAAATGAAAATATCAATACTAACTTAAAATTAATTCTTGCTTATAACTCTAAAAGATGTATATCAAATTTTTTTAATTATAATGCTGTATTAAATTTGTTATAATCAATCTTATTGCTATAACCTGAGTAATTAAAAAAAATTTATGTACAAACAAAAAACACAAAGAATATTTATTAATATGTTTATAAGAGTTATTTATTTATTCTAATATTATATAATAACGTAAATAATATTCATTTATAAAGATAGGTATTTCGACTGTTTAAAAAATAGAAAATACATGATTATCATTTTCTCACATAACAGAATGGAGACAAAAGTTTTTGCTGATGTCTAAAACTTCGAAAATACTATTGTTTGTAACGTTGTAGGTGTTGTATAACGTTGTAGGCTTCACTTTCATCAACATCATTTTTAATATTTTCTGCTTAGTACTAATTGCAATTTACTGTATATGTTGCTTATCTCTTATTTTAATTATCATATATTTCTGCTTAAAAATAATTGATCTTTAAGCATTTAAAAAAATTTTTTAGCCGTTAATATAGATATTAATGTTGAACATAAACCCTTTTAATTATAATCACATTTTTTAATATGAAAATTCAATATTTATTATACTAATAATTAATAGTTCAGTTAATATAAGTTATCAGAGTGTTTTACTGCCCTAATAAAATTTTTTTTTTAATAGAAGTTAATAGAAGTTTTTTTTAGAGAGGTCAAGTTTTTGTCAAGTTTTTAATATAATAAGACATAAATGAATATTTTTTGTCATATTTACATTATATCACTTATAGCTATCTACAATTTAATATACTTATAATGTATTATCTTTTAATTAACTTAACTTAATTATTCAGAAATTTTTCTTTTTTAAATAACTTAATATATACTATTTCATTGATATATAATAGGATTATCTCATTGATAAATTGATAATATTCATTTGATCCAGTAATATCTTATCGATTATTATAACGATATTATTGTATCGAATTTATCGTAACAAATAGTTGAATATATTTAACTCTATATATAAGGAAGAAAAATATGTTTCACTTTATAATTAAATCAATATCATTTTTACTTACCGCGTAATAAACAATGATATCTTTTAATTTTTTCCTCTCTGTATTAACTTTCACTATCTATAAGCGATAAAGTTAAAATATTAATCTACACAAGGATAGTAACTAATGTTGGTACAAAAGCTCATTGTTGAATATATATTTGTAACTTAGAAGCTAATGAGATAAGAATGCTAATTATTAATTTTTCTATGAATAGGTATAATGAACAATGGTGGCGACAAGCAGCAACGTGTATGAGGAAATTGTGGGGTCACGGGGCAGCTGACCTCAGCCACCCCGGAATCTCTTAATGCACGCCATGCCACACAATCTAAATAATACCTCGGCTAATTCAGCCAACTCAGGCCAAAATTACCAGGCGTTCGGAAATCTGCAATCCTGCCATCGGCTTGAACAAGATGGATTCCAGCCTGAGGTAATACATTTTACGATTTTCTAATCACCAATTGTGACCAATATATCATTTGTATTGCCAAGCTTTCAAACTGCTTTAAGCAATGGATCAACATATATAGTGACCGATGCTTCATAGAAAATTGTATTTAGCTTCTTCAGCATTGGATTGCACGATTTTCATTTTTTTAAAGATTGTACAATTTTAGTTTTTCTAAATATTCTACATAAATAAGTTAGTCAATAATAGTATGTAATAAATGTAAAATTAATTAGAACGGCAATAAATTTGTAATTAATTTAGTATTGACGGTTTTGTATGATCATTCAAGTTTGAGTCATCCATGTTTATAAATTACGTCGTATTCCATAAATAATAATATTCAATAATAATCGAAAATTCATTTTTTGTTTAATAAAATAATTATTTAATCTGGAGAAGTTATCTAGATATCTGTAAAGTTAATTAATTGTGAATTTATTCTTATTTATTTTATTTGAAATCTCTAATAATTGTGTTTTTGTAAGAGAAATATATATACTTGTGCAATTATTAATAGATTAAAAAATGAAAGCTTAATATAATTATAGCAAATACTTTTTTAAAAATACACGTAAAATATGTAATCAATCTCTGTAATCACAACAAATACAAGAAATAAAATGTAAATTAATTTTTGCAGACTTAAATTATTTTTCCATACTAACAATTTTCAAGTTTCATTCACAAGTATTATTAACTAGAACTTTTTAGCACTTAATTAAGAAAACATTAATGTAATTGTTTTAACTATAGAATAGAATCTACTAAAAAAATGCAATAGTTTTTCATTGCCATAAAATTATGAAGAAGTATCTTTGACAATACAGAAGGAGCCAGTGGAGTTCGATAATAGGCATCTGCTGGGCGCTCCGGCGGAAGTGGAAAGCCTTGTATATAACATTAAAGAAGTTGCACAGCAGTTCCTATATCACTGGAAGAAGTTTCCAATTATACTACCGCCGGAACTATTTACGTGTACCGTACCTTCTGTTTCCATCGGCGATGACAGCCTCACACGAAAAAAACAACAACCATACCATTTAAGGGACATGTTTGTGGCTCCAAGTTTTGATGAACTCGACGCTGTTGCTGTAGATAGTAAGGGTGAATCTCGACGACTCACCAATAAACAACTAGAGAGCATCCGTGAGAGGGGGTTCGTATCAACTGCGATTTTTTTTAAATTTATGCTCGATTTATTAATAACAAAATTACATCATTTAAACTATGTGGCGATGGTTTTCTCATCATCATAAATGCTATAGGAACTCGAGCACTTAGTATTATTCATTGTGTCAAACAATTGTTTATCATACGCCTCTATTCGTATTCGAGTTTATTTAGCCAAATAATCATCGGCATAATAGTATGTTACAAATATTTAATTTAAATGAGATTGTAACTATTTAATTTCATATAATTCTGTCCTAACTTGAATAAAGTTATTTATTAAAATAATTTTTAAAATTAAATTGCTTCAAAAAATATTTTAGATAGAAAATTAATATAGAAAATTTTTTAATACTATTATAATAGGTCTGTTTAATATTTACTATTGTTGATGATAGTATATTGCTAATAATAGTATATTTACTTAAAATATATATATGTTTTAGTACACGAAAAATGTATATGGTATGTTTATTTCTACTTTTCATTATATTTTCTTATTCAAATGATAACGCAAATTCTATAAGATTATTATTAGTATATCATTACGAAAATTGCTTTATCAAAGAAATGGATCTTAAATATGCATGCCCGTTTCATCATTCATTAAATTCATTTTCTCATTTTTTTTCTTTATTAGTGTAATGTTACTTTCCTTCTCATACACATCTTTGTTTGATATAAAGGACTTTTATAATTTATTTTTATTAATTAATCTGTAATTTTCAATTTTATAAAGTATTTTATGTTTGTTAATGACATCAATTTTAAAAATATATAAATTTAGTTATGTTTTTTATACAAAAAATAAAAAAATGAAGAATAAACTTTAATAATGAATAATTTTTTAATTTTTTTATTTTTTATTATTATTATCATTAATATTATTATTATTATTATTATTATTAATATCACAGTTCATAGTACAGTCTCAGAAAACTAACATATAACAAATTTGCTATTTTCACATCTAAAATATAAAGCGAAGTAGGTTTAAAAATATTAAAAATTGTTGGATAGATAGATGGAGTTTTAAGTCTGATTTATTTATAACGATTTTTGGAAAGCTTGCACAAGGATAAGTACGGAAAGCCGAAGAAGCTGAATGCCACTCAATTGGAGAGCATTCGCAAATGCGGGTATGTCACGATATCATGAAACCAAAAAATTTACCCACAAATGCAAAATATATTCCCGATTTCAATAATACGTTTCCTTTTTTCTTTTTTTTGTGAACTTACATGAGATCAAATTTTTTATGGTCACATGCATATTTCTGACGTTGCATTTGGAAATTATGCCTATTCATATTTATGTGGATTGTCCTTATGAATATCTTTATCTATTTTATTCGTTTTTAAAATAATATACAATTTATTTATAATCGGACCTCATTTTGTTAAACGATTTACATTGGCTAATTGAACACTACTTTTGTAGTTTTACTTTGCGATTATTTAATATCAATCAATTTTATATCATGTACATTTTTAATATAGTTGTATAATTATTTAATTATAGGACAATCCGGTTGTAAATAAAATATTTAAGTATTATAATTTAATTGTAATTTCTAGCATGCTGTAATAAAGAGATGTAAATAACAATTTTTGAATTCTAGTCTTTATATTAAAGGTATAGGGTAACTAATATGCAGTAGCTTATTCAACAATTTTTTTATTTTATAATATTTTATTATTATCCAGGGTGTTATACCAATCGATGTTTTTTATTATGTATAAATATATTGTATTTGCATATGTAGTTGGTTTCTTATTCTTTTTTTTTTCATACACGCTATTTATGGTTTACAAGTGCAGCTATAGCTTGTTCATATTTATTTATTGATATATAATACATTTTAAAATTTATTTAAATTCAAGCATTAAGAATTTTCATATATTTGTATGTGGGAATATTGCACGTGCAGTGCATCATTAAAAAGTTTTGTACATACAAAAATACTGATCATTCGTTAAATTAAAAAAAAGTAAAATAATAATTTTAATTTGTCATAAACTATTAAAAATCTGTCAATGATAATGTAATCTATGGTAATAACTGACAGTACTCTAATAACGTTAAACAATAACTACCAACAAGCATCACGATCTTATAGTACACTCACTATTCATGAAATATAGTACGAATATATATGCAACTTATACTCAACGATAGTCGACATGAGATATCCGATAACGCTTTTAACATCACTCATAATCCTGGGTTCGTAGGGAGTTCGAAGTGGAATCGATCAATTTTGCCGGCCAGACTCATCGTTGGCGCCTGAGTGGATTGCTGCAGCGTGGTAGAGATCGACGTCGAGATGCCCTCCTTAAAGATCTCGCTCTGGCCACCCGGTTCCTGGTCGTCACAGCTAAGGGCAGACTCGTGTCTCATTGTTTCAGCGTGTCTGAGTCCCTCAAGGCCCTGTTCATCGGTGTCCTCAGATTGCTTGGTAAGCTCAAAGCGAAAGTGCCATCTTAAATTGTATACTACTTTGAGCCTTTTAAATTAATTTGTATTAAACTGTTTTACATTTTATAATAGACTGGTTAGTTTATTTTCATTGCTCGAGATATTTATGTTGATGTTCATTACATCATACTATAACTGCTTTTATGTAAATAGTATCAATGAAATCAGTTAATTCTATTAATAAAAATATTGATTCATTCAACGAATTTTCATTTTTCATCAAGATCAACAGTATATTTCAGCCTAAACAATAATTAATGTAGTTTGGAACACATTTATAATAATAGTACATCTAATATGTTTGAATAAACTGTATGTTTTTAAGAAACGGCTTAACTAGTAATTAATTTAAAAATATTATTAATGTTAATTAATATTTAATTGTATTATTATACGATCAATATTATTTATTATGTTTAAACTTTGGAAAATATAAAATTATTGATTAAAAATATTCAAAAGATATTTGCATTTTTAAAAGAAAATAAACAGATGTAGGAATATCAATATTTTTAATTAAATTTTAAAAATGTAATTTTAAAATCAATTAATCATTATTTATTATATAGCATACATATATAATATATGAATATGTAATTATTTTTATTAATTGCTTATTATTTGTTTAAAATTCAAATATCTTAAAAACTATTTAATAAATTTAATAAATTGAATAGAATGTAGATCTGTCACTGAATTTTAATAATGAAAATTGAGTGGGTTAACATATTGCCACTTAAAAACTTGACTGATAATATATAAATTTCTAAATTATTTAATGAGATAAGTGATTGAACAATTGAATTAATCAATTCTCCAATCTTGCATCATATTCTTTTGTATTTTGGTTTTATTCAGATATCATAATTGGAATGCCATCTCTTCAAGCACAGAATTTAGATGCCAAAATTCGTGAAGAACGCTGCAGATATCTCGTAGCAGAATTGATTTGCAAAGTAAGTTTTTTCGTAAACCTTTATTTTAAAAACAAAAATGCAAATTTTTTTCAAATATAAACTAATATAAAACATTGAATGTAAAATTTATTAACAAATGTAAATTTATCGAATGCTTCAGCCTGAGTACGAGGATTCATTAGAGTTGTTGTGTGGTTTCGTACGTCGTCAGTTACAGCGAGCAACGATGGAGAAATTCGAAGTAGAACGCGAGTCGCAAATGCTTCCAGTGCCGGTGCCATTCGTCTTTGGTACACCGGGTGGTGCAGCAGTAGATCTACGGCTCTTCAGTCGTGACATCATTAAGAAGGCGTTGCCTTCACTCCTAACGATACTAGAGAGAGAGACTCGTGGCTGGTTTCTTCATTTTCGCGAAAAACTTATTTCGGAGCTTCGAGCACAGAAGAAGACAGACGAAGAGATCGAGAGAGTAAGCATCAGAAGCCGACTCAAAGCTCAATCGCTGGGTCAGTTTTTAGAATTGTAATTTCATCTTCCTGCAGGAAGTAAATGAGGCCGTGATGCACGAATATTTACAACGTGTATACACTTCGATTTTGTCGCATCCCAACATACTCGCCCTCGGTGAGGGCATATCTCATCTATTAGTTCAACAAGCACAGTCAGTGGTATTGATGCATCGTGCAGTAGAGAATGTGCAACGGAAGTTGGCACGCACGAAGCAGGTACTGCGTGAGCGCATTGAACGCGAGCATCCGGTGCTGTCACGCATAGGACCATGGATGCGGGACCAAATGCGCGAGGCCGAAGCCAATTTTATCGAAGAGTGTGAATGGAGTGCTCACGAAGAGGCCCTTATGCTTTGCGGAAAGCAAAACCTTCAGCAGACACTATATTTTCTTAATCGTGACTTAACTTTTATGAGAGAGGTGAATTATATCATGTTTCATATAGTCAAAATGTAGTTAAAGGAATAAATTCTCCATATCTATCATAATATTTGATAATATATACATTGTATCTATTATGATTATATTATTATTTACATAGTAGAATAAAAATGTTTCTTATTTTTACAATAAAAACTTTAAATTAATGAACCTTAATTTTTAATTTTATAGATCCTGTGATTGTTTTATATACATTTTTATTGTTAACTTTACTTAGCGAGAGCCAGTACTTCTAAAGGAGTTAAGAAAAGTCAAAATGCCAACAAGAAATTTCCAGTGGCCTACGCACATTTGGCTACCTAGAAATTGGATTGTTAGTCGTAGTTTTCAAGGTCAATCGGAAATTATTCCAACGGTATTAAGTAGTACACCGACGTCGATTACCACACCACGCTCTGATCCAAGTCAACCTGTTTTTTTAGTTGAACGAGAAATCATTCATACAACAACCACAAGGTAATTTCTTGAACAATTTTTTCAATTTTAATAATTATTTATATATATACATATAATTATTATATCATTACAATTAAAATGATATAAATTATAATCATAATAATTTGAATAAAATGTTCATTGTTGTTTGTAGATGGCCTATGTGGCGATGGATAAATTACGTATCACGCACTTGGTGTTGGACATGGAACGCAATGTTTTTATTTGGAGTAGCGTTACCTTGGTGTAGTCCGGTTTCTTTACGAGCTCTTCTCCTGATTCGACCCTTTACCCCAGACTTCGAGTTAAGTCAAATCAATGGCACACTATTTCCACGCAAGTCTTCCCAAACTCCCACACTTTATTCTCGACTGACTACACTTTGGAGGCATATAAGTAAAAGTCGAACTCATTTTGAGACAGAACCCGATACAGGTTTATATTAATTTATTCATAAGTCATAGTTTATAAAGAAATGTTGTGTTTTTGTTTAATTATTATTAATGATTTTTAAAAATATTTTTAAATTTAAAAACAAATCTTTTCATTATAATTAGAATATTATGAATTTAATTTCATTTTTTCATACGCATTAAAGTTTTTTTCATCTATTAAATTAACAGTTATTTTTTCAGGATTTATTGGAAAAGGAATGACAAGACATATAAATAGATTATGGAATTATGGAGCAAAAGGTCTTCTTGGCACATTAGTTATACTCTTTCTTTTCCCAGTAGCATGCCTTTTAATAAGTTTTACATCACTTTTTATTGCAGTTACTGCATTTATATGGTTAGTATAAATGTTGTTTCTAAATAAATTTTTTCTAGATTAATAATAATTCTAATAATAACATTTTATAGGATGCCAATAGTTACCTTAATACTTCACGCTTTCATGGCTCTTATTATGGATCTGGACAGTCCAGAAAATAATCGAAATCGCTACTTAGTCGTAATAGAAGCTTTAATTTGGAATATTTGCCTACAAGGATGTATACAACCTATTGCGGCCTTATTTGTTTCAGCTCTCCTCTGCCCACTTATTTCATTTGTGATATTAACAAGTAATTATTTTATATAACTAAAATAGTATATTATCTTAAGGTTATAAAATATAAAATATTCTTTATAGCCACAAATTTTAATCTACTACACATATTACTTAATTTATAGTTAATCATAATAATAAAAATATATTTATTATAATTAATTTTACATAACTAATTTACATTACAATTTGCGCTACTTGCTAGCTGTAGTACTATACTTTATTATTTAGATCAGAGTTAAAAATTAAAGTTTCGGATGAATAGTAATATTCTTACAATGATGATATTATCAAACTGACCTTAGAAAAATTATTGTACTCCGTCTACAATCGATAATACTACTGGTTGTAAAACAGTTGGTTGCTTTCTTCATCATTTTTTGATTTTCAATTTTCAGATATTTTAATTGAATATCTCCTTATACTGATATTAATACTTTTGTATCCTAAGGAAAAATAATATAAAACTTTTACAGCTTAATAATGTTTAATTAATTTCAGGCTTTTAAAAATGTTTAAGATATCAGATTTTTATTAATTAAATTAAATTTAAAAAAGTAAATATCTATTTACTACAACTTTCAATTTTATTTGTAGTTGCTATCATACGTTATTGGGTGAGAGTATTATGGGACACTACCTTGTTTCACTTAGTTATAAAAAGCCGAGGACGTATTCCTGCAAGCAACAGTTTTGTTGTAAAAAGAATAGCTGGACCAGGATTAGCGTCTGATTATTATTATCAGGTAGCCAAAAAATACTAAAATATTTATATATATATATACATTTACAATTAACATTATTATTAATATTGCTTTGATAGATTAAACCAGAACAGGCACTGGCTGCGTTTGAAGCAAAATTGGAGCTTGATGAATTACTGGCGTATCAACAGGAAATGGAAAGGCTCATTACCCAACCTCAGAGAGACTTTACTCAATTTATTGAAGCATGCTTTGGTCCATTTGCAGCAACTCTCGAAAAGACAAAGGAGCCTTACAAATCTTTGGAAAAAGAAGCTAGAGATTTAGTTGCTGCACTTCATGAGAAATTAGATAGACGCAAGAAGGATTTGCAGACTGGTTTAGGAGTAGCTGTTAGAACTAAAATTAAACTTACGACATTTGACTTGAAGGTTAACTATACTTCAATTTTTTTCTATGAATGTTGCTTATTTGAAGATTATTGTGAAATAAATATTTTTGGTCTAATTATTTATTGACGATATTATTGTTAATTTATAATAATTTTTTTTTAATTAATTCTTAGTTTAACTTATATTAATAATTCATTATTATAAATGTCATTTGAATACCTCTAGCATTTATAAAAACTATTAATAGAAGTTCATAAACTCATAATAAAAATTGCATCAGCCAAAATAAAGAGGTAATTTCATTGTAGATAGTTATTCAGCAAGGTGCATTAATGCTGGAACGACTATATCCAAGTCATGTGTTTGCAAGATTATATTCATCGGAGGAGGACTTCTGGGAAAACAAAGGTCTGGGTGTAGCGGATTGGGCAGGCCTTGCTGGACTTATGTACTCTGACATCTTTAGCCTTGACTTCTTGCAGCCTCTTGATGACGCCGACACTAAATTCAAACTTGAACCTCATGGAGCCATTGATCTCACTCGATATACTGACATGATTCATAATACAGAACTTGGAGTTGGCGTCAATGGCCCTGACCTGCTTGGAGCGGTTTATGCACCTCGCGGCAACATTCAAGTACACAGCCCGTACCTTGCTGTCTCAGTTTTCAATCCGCGCGTTAAACCCCCCAGCAACAGTAGAAAATCGGACAAGCACAAGTAAATTACTTTCATTTGTTATCTGCTATTTATATATACATAATTTTTCGCACATTGTTATTACTATATAATACAATTTATATATTTATAAAAAATGTTATATGACTCAGTGATACAATGGGTCTGCTGATGTCCACGCGGATTGGTCAGCACATGATAATGAGCAATAATAGCGGTGGCGTGTACATCAACAGCCGTTGGCAGCCTTGGAAGCGATTAATACGTCCTTATAGTGCAGAAAAACTACTTATTCCCCTACCGATACCCCACCCGGCTCACATTGCAGTAACGATACATAACCGCGATTCTGAAGATCCTATACCTCTCGATTCAGAAATTTGTCAGAACATACTTAAGGCTATTGAAGAGTCACCTGATGAAATGCCTTTGGAAAGCGTTATTGTCAGCAGATATCGAGGAGGAGACTCTAGTTTTGATTCTGTTGCCTCTCAATCATCAGTATCAATCGAGGCTGCCTTCAACAAGGTCTTAATTTTCTTTTTTTTAAACTTAATCAAACAATCTATTCATGAATTCCAGCTAGATTTATTAATTAAAATCATGATAACAATAAGATCGACCATTTATATCTGAATTTTAATAAATCTTTTTCTTATTCCCTAAACTATTGAAGATATAATTTAATTTTTTTAATGAGTTTTAATAATGGTTTATTAACTTTCAATTAGGAAACTATATTTGATTTATAAAATTAAAATTAAATTAATAAAATGTATTTAATTATTTCATGTATTATCTAAATAATATAAAAGATATATATGTAAATATTCATATTTTCCACATACTTGTAATTAAGTCAATAAAACTTATTTGAAAAATAGGAGAATACTTATTAAATGTATAACATTTTAGATTGAAGAAGTACAGAAGCAACAAGAAGTAGATACACCGGATGAAAAAGAAATTGAAACGTATCATTGGACGCTGTCAAACTGGAGTGGTGGAATGGCCAGGCGAAGAAATTCTGGGTCGATTAAAGTAGATCTTGCGTCTCCAGAGGACGTGACGCTGGATACAGATAGCACACGAGTTATGTTCAGTACATATGGAACTACAGTATAGTTTCATAAGCTTTTACTTTTACTAGAGCATTTCGATATGCACAGCCTCGCATTGAATCTCTTAGTTTTAAATTTGCATGCAACATTTTCCAATAATCTTCAGTATTATACAACGCAGTTACTTGCAACGAATGAATTTTAAGTTTCACTTGCATTTTATATTTTATTATTGATTATATTTTATGTAAAAAAGAAATTCGAATTATTTGCTATCTACAAATATCAATCTTAATTGAAACAACTGAAATATCAGCTATTCCTTGTTTGATATCTGAAGACTTTAATTCCTATTTTTTCATTTTTTTTTTTATATAGCTTTATTAAAAACCGTATATTTTCGGATTTAAAGATTTTTTTGAAAAATTTTAAATAAGTACATAATTTAAAATAATCCATATATTGAACATCAGAGATACTAAATAATATTATTGAAGCAAATGTATAATGAATTTTGACTAATTATTCTTGAAAGTTAACTTTTTACATTGCATGAAATGTACTAATATATAATTGTAAATAGATTTGTGTATAATTGCATATAAGAAAAGGCAATTCAATAATTGTTAATCTATATATAAATAAAATTACTTGTTAATGATATTGTACCAATGTGTCAATAAGTCGTAAATTTTTAATGATTAAAACTGCTCTCTGTATTTGGTACACTTAATTGATTAATATAAGCAAATAAATGTTAAATTTTCAATTGAAGATTGTAACTAATATTAATCCCATTTCGAAACTTTACCATTGTTTAAAATTTATATATTTAACTTGTAAAATTAGAGATCCTAAGATTATATAATGGCAAATCCAGTTCTTGCTATGTCTCATTTAAATTATAAATGAAATAATATAATAGCACATAATCTGCTAATATAAAATTGTATTCTTAATATTAAATGTTTTATTATATACTAAATATCGTACTAAATATTCCGGTTATTGCATTTATATATAACTTCCATACTTAAATAATCCACATGAAAATAAAATCAATATTCAAACTGAGGAAAAAATTACTTACTTGAATTAGTTTATTTTAATATTGCTTCTAAAAAAATAAAAGTGCTAATAAAAATTAATAAAGCCTTAATCATACATTCTTTTTAAGTTAAATATTTTTATTTTGTTATTTAGCAGTACTGATAGATAAAAAAAATATACTTTTTAGAAATATTTACTTTAAAGGGTAATTACTTAAGATACTCTAATTTTATAAAATTCAAGTATTTTAGAGAAATTTTATGAGTATAACGAGCTGCATTCGTAAAATTATAAATGTAAGATTAAACTATCCGTATAAATACATATTTTTACGATTACTTAATATTGCTCAATTTTATCATAATAAATATCGACGAGATAAATGACTTTCTTTATCTAAAATGATTTATCTACCTCTTTAAATTGTATCTCTTTCATTTTCAAGCATATTTTGAAACGGTTTTGTTTAAATTGTTACAATTTATATAGAACAGGCTGTATATGTCTTTAATTGTATTTAAATATATATTTATACATAAAACCAAATATTATAGAAAAATAATAAAATTTTCATTCTATTCCTCTTTGCTATATTAATTAAAGTTTTAAACAAATAAATTAGTGAAGTTATATAATCGATCTCTGTCCAATTAATATTTTCTTCTGTGTTTAACCAATTAAAAACCTAATTTAATCATTTATTTAATTATATTTTGAAGTAATAAGTTCTACTGAATTATTTAATATTTCATTTCTTATTGTTATTCTTGTAAACTAAAAGTTTTTATTAATTAATTAGTTTTATTTGTTAATTTATTAGTTATTATTTATTAAAAATATATACTTTTTAGAATGTATAATTATTATAATATAATTATTATATCCATATAATTATTATAATGATAATATCTTTTAATCTGGCATACAATGTTATTTCATAAATATGAAAAAAAATAAATAAAACATCGAGTGCAACAATTATAAATTCATCCCAAAATGTACAAATCTCAAATTAATTTAATTTTTTTTAATTTAAGAAATTTTTAATAACTTACATTAGTTGATATTAATATCTATTAAGTTTAACGACACAAATAATTTTGTAATTTTATTCTTATGTACTGATATTTATGCAGAATAAATTAATCTTGTACAATTTTGTACAATATGCAGAAATATAAAAATATGTTAAAATAAATGATATGAAATTAAATCGAAAAAAATATAAATGAAGATAGGAAATATAAAAACAAATGATAAAAAATAGATTATTTAAATAATAATATTATAATTGGTTGACTAATATTATTTCTTATTCATAGTTATATTATATTTCAATGTGCTTAAATAACATTAAATATTTCATTTATAAATTGATAAGAAACAACCTATTAAAGAAAAATAAAAAATAAAAATATTAGTAACAGGAATTGTAGTTACAACTACAAAATATGTATAATAAAAATTAAAATCATTTTTAAGATGTAAATGTATGAATATATTTATATATTAGGCATTTAATAGAAACACTATTAATAAAAAATATACAGATGTGTGTATATGTATATACCTAAATAAATTAAAAATTAATCATTACTCCAAGAAATCACAAAGTACCAGTTTGTGCATTGAATAATTAAAAGTCTACAAAGGCAATAAAATTATTCTAAAGGACTGCTTTATATTTTTTAAATTTTATTTATATAGTATATATTGGATTTATTAACTTAAAAACTTATTTAAATTATTTTATAATTGTATAATAGATAATGATTAGTGTAAAAATTATTTTTCGGTATTCCTGACCCTCTATGAAACTGTATTTAAAAATATAAGTTATATTTATTAAATGTAAGCGTGAACAAATTGCCTTATTTATAAGATGCATGAACCCTTATAATATACTACACTGCGAGTATGAATTTCTGAAATAATATTAATATTTTAAAAAGAAATTAGATTAATATTATTTCATAATATTCAGATCCTTAAATAAAATTCCTACAATTAAAAAGAATTAAATTATTTTACTTATTATAATGTAATGAAAATTTTTCAATAATTTATGTAAAAATATTAATATAAAATTTTTTTATTAAGAACTCAAAAGTAATTAAAATAATTAATTAAAAATTATTTTAATTAATTACTTTTTTATTTGTTATTAAATAATTAATCTATTTATGGAACATTGCATTCATTTTCTATTGCCATTTTTAAATATTAAAAATACGAAATGTAATTTCGAATTAATTAAAAATAAACAAATAACTTATATAGAAAATTAACAAATAGATATGTAAAATTTATGGGTTTATTAGATAATTATATTTAATTCTTTAAAGCAATTCTCTATGTATATTATTATTTGCAGTGTATAATACAGTAAATTGTAATTGAATTCCTATTTGCAAGAAAATGCCTAATATCTATGGTTTATGAACATATTCCTTACAAGCTCCACGCATCATGAAATCGTAACATAATGTATTCAAAGATGATGGATCGTTTGTATGTCAATGTTATAGACTTGGGTATAAAGAAAGAAAAGCGTATGCAGGGACTCTATTCTCGCACTACCATAAACGGGTATATCGAGGAGCGCACAGATGAGGTCAATTAGCTGAAGAAGGTCGCAGTCTAGCTTATCGAAGTCAGCAGAAGTGCCGAGATAAAGCTTATTCTCGATCTCGGAGGGCCACTGGCACAGTAATGCCTCCATATCTGGGAATTGCTTTGATATTTCGACAGTAGGCAGATACTTGCTTCGGTATAGTTCTCCCATATCCTCGATCCATTTATTAATCATTCGACCCTGTTTTGATACATCCTCCAGTCGTTTTACTACTGATGCCTGTGTTTGATATGTTCACTTTTTTACAATGAGAATTATTCTTTTTAAGTATCAGGAAAAACTAAATGCTACTGACAATTATTATAATCATTCAATAGTATTGATTAATTATAAAAATCGATGTTACTTATATTTATTATTGTAATTGATTATGAAATAAGAATTAATTTTTTCGAAAAATATTCTAAAACTGAAACGGTAGCTATTTCATATTATCAAAATACAAAATTTTCAAAAGAAAGATTTTTGTTTTGATTTTGCGTTCATTTAGAAATATTTTATAATAGAAAGTAGAAGAAACAACGAACCTTGGAAGAACCAGTGGCACTACGAGTCTTACTGCGTAATTGCAAATGAAGCACTGCGGGCTCGGATTGTTCAACTGCAGGTTCATCAAGAACGGTAAGGCCTATTTGATCAGAAATACCATCAGGTCTCGGAACTTTGAGAAAAGCGTCGATGTCACCCACTGCTGGGATGTAATCGGGAATAAAAGGAATCAGCTTGTAGTCCAACTCAATTTTTTGTGGGGTATACCTAGGCATACAAATACTTATCATATGGTTCATTAATGAAGCTATTGCATAATATAAGAATATAAACCTTATGATATTTTGAAAAAGTTCCCTTACTTCAGTCGACACTTCCAAGTCCTCAAATTGCTTGAAATTATATAATTCAACTTGCTTTGTTTTAGAAATCTTTGGATTATTCAATTCTTCGCTGTCTTCACTATCTGAAGTTTCGCTACCCAGCCCTATGACTTTATTAAACGATTCTTCGGGCACTGAGTATCTATGATTATTATAAATAAAATAAATTAAATCGTCAATCAAACATTATATCTTGTAAAACTAAATATTTAAAAACTAAAAACTAATCGTTTTAAAACATTTCAAAAACTCAATTGAAACAAATTTGAAAAAACATCTCAAGAATATAAATATTTGCTATTAAAAATATATCAGTAGGTGCAAATTTAATGAATAAAAATAGTATTTCAGAAATTATACTTTAAATTAGAAAATTTTTCAAAAGACCGCGTTCATATAATTATTTAAGAAATTTAATCAAAAAATAAAATAAAAAAACCACTCTAAGAAGAATTATATTAATAGGAATTTCATACAAGTAAAAAGACTATTCATACATTTTTAGTTACCTTCTAAAATCCATCATCCTAGGGGATCGTACATCGACTTCCGGAGTTACACCGTTAACTATTGATCTTTTACTCTTGGGGAGTTTTATGCTTGTCGTGACTTGCTTTTCGATCACGGGACTTTTAACTTCTACGGCGTTCCGAACATCAATACTTTCGTCAAAGTTTGTGAAGGCGGAAATATCTTGAGATCTCTCCTCTTCCTCGCTACTATCCTGTGCCGCCATCGTTGATACATAATCTGTTTGAGACTACTCTTTATTTCCTGCTCGTTTATGCTATTTACTATATCGTCGTTTATGGCTGTGTTTATCAATGTAAGCTGTTTGAGTTGTCATGACTACATATTAATATACATTGTAACCATTTTATAAGCCTTTATATACACAAAAGATATTTTTTGGGTAGATTATTTTGCATATATACTTTCGAATATATATGCGTATATTTATTCAATTTAATACATTTATTCGTTCCCATAGTGGTATATAAAATACAATACAATACGATATTCAAAAGAATATAAAATATCTATACGATAATAAAAAATGCTTAAATATACAATTTTCATTTAACAAAGAATTTCATTACACAAATATACATAATACATTACATGGTAAATATTTAATAAGTGAACAATAAAATAAGTTGCGCATGCAGTTGTTAATAAATAATTTAAATCGGATATTTCTTGCATATTTGACTGTTATGCATGCACCCAATTGATTCCTCTTGATCAACTATTTTACTCAAAGAATAAATTGAAATCTGTCATCTTGATTTATCTAACATCACCTGGATTTATCAAGATAAATCCTGCAATACTTATGTAAAGATCGGTTTTACCATTGATCTCGTTATTTTTTATATAATTTAAAAAGTAATAAAAATATTACTTTGTTGTCTAGTAAGAAATATAAATAATTAATCTTAATAACTACTAATGAATATATTATTTATTGACTATGGATCTATTAATTATGTGATAAGTTTGCATGTTCACGCTCGGTAACGACCTATTAAAATTAGCAGGGGTTAACTGAAATTTCATTATTCGTTCGTATTTTGTTTCGTCTCGTATCAGACAATTATCTGATTTATATAAAACTCGAATTTGTGTGTCTTTACAAAATGTATATATAATTTTCATCAGAGCACTAAGAGTGAAAGAAGAATAAGTACTTAGTATTTAAGTATTTGAGTTTTAAGTAATGTTAATTAAATAATATTTAAGTATTTAAGTATTTGAATTATAAAATTCGAATACGATTTTCAAAAAATCGTAAAAATCAGTTACTTTTGTTTTATGGACACATCCCAGGTCACGTTTCAAAATATTTGATTATTACCGTACTCTTCATATCGTTTTAACTAACGTCTTCTTTCGAGAGAAAATTGAACGATCGTTAAAGTATTATATCGAGATACGGATACATACTAGATAAGGGTTATGAACGGCGAAACTACTTTAAATAAGTTTTTCAAAATTGACTGCTGAAAACTTATTACAACACATAGACCTTGTTTCATTTATCAAGTTGCGTTGATTTATTCGACATGGAACATGAAATATTTACAATTATTAAAATTTACAGCTAATTGCATACTTTTATTGTTTAAAAAAAATTTAATTACACGTGTTTTTTTTACAAATTCAATTAAATCTAATATTTTCGTTATTACAATTTTAATAATTTTTATATTCAATTTTAATAATAATTTTTGATAATAAAGAATTAATTTTTTTTAATCATATTATGAATAAGTAAGATACGATAAGTTGTAATGAAATATACTTGATTAAATACAATACTAAATAGATTTTATTAAATATATATTTCAACTCTAATATTTACATATAAATTCATTTTTACAAAAATATATTATAATATCTTTAATTAGAATTCCAGTATATTTGGATTAGATCACACTATGATTTAAATAGCACAATTTAAAATCTATGTTAAAAATCTTATTAATCAATTTTTATTATGATTTTGTAAATAAATTTGTGTTTATAATAATGTATACTATAGATTCAATTTCTTCATGAATTTATCTACAGTATTATAATTTACATTTCAACGTTTCTATTTATATTTATATTATATAGTTTTTTTCTGAGTTAGTTATATCTAATTGTTATTCTTTCTCATAGTATAAGGAATTGAAATAAAATATTGATTGCAATAATATTAACATACTTTAAGTAAAAAATATTTCGTAATGTAAATGTAAAAGTTTGCGAAAAAAAAATTTTTAATTTGTGTTTCGTAAAAGATATTTAAAAATTTAATAAATAATAATGAAATACAAATTTTTGCTCATTCAATAATGCTTATCTACGGCTGAGTAATTGTCATTTATCTATCTTAGGTATTATTTAATCTAATATTCAAAAGATTTAATAGTTTTGTTTGGTCATTATCTATTTTTTAAAAAATAAGTATACTTACGTCGTTTTTTAAGAGCTTATTTATACTGCACCCGAAACAATATCAATTTATGTCAGGATATTTAAATACTTTTTTATGCGTTTAATCAGATTCAGAAGATTGTGAAAAATATCTCCTCATTTCGTCAATTAAAGTATTTCTCCACGAGAGGTAGCAGTTATTCTCTGTATGTTATTAGTTGTGAGACTCATAACCTCTCATTAAGTAAATGAGATATTAATAAATAATAAAGAAAATTGAACAAGTACTAAACATTTTATAATCAGTAGTACATTTTTTGACATAAATATAATTTATGATTATTATATGTCGTATATTGTTTAGCATAAATTTTTTTAAATTTATTAGCAAATGGATTATTTATAGTAAGGTATTTAAAGTAAAATTTATAAAAAATTTTACTAGAATATAATTATGCATATGTATTAATAGGCATCTATTTTTAGGTAAAAATAGAAATTTGTAATTACAAGCATTACTTTATACATTAAGAAGTTATTGTAATTGGTAATATATAATAAAAATATAATTTGTATAACTAATACAAATATTTAATATAAAATTCTAATGTGCTTAAAAAAGTAATATGTTCAGTATATTTATGAGATGGTATGAGCCAATATTGAGTATTGGTAAATTATATAAAACAAATGCCAATAAATATCAAAAAAATTTATTTTTTAATTTTCAATTTGTACATATTAATAAAAAATATATTAATACCTATGTGTTACTCTTCAATCAACAAAATATAAAAGAAAAAGTTGCAGACCCATTTATTGAAAATAATAGTAAAGAATACATTTCAAAAGAAATAAATCGAAAACAAACTAGTAGTCAAAATTCCAATAGAATTGATAAAGAAAATGATAAAAAACATGAAGAAAAAACACGTAGAGAAAGCATAACAGGAAAAGAGTTACAAATAAGTACTTTTCATACAACAGAAAAAAAAGATAAAGATACTTATTTAGAGTGTTTACGAATATACAAGAGTCATATTAGTATAAGAAGTGACAGTGTTATTTTTATTACAATTGCATTGAAGTATATGAAAGAATTTGGAGTTCATAAAGATCTAAATGTTTATAAAATGTTATTAGATATTTTCCCAAAAGGAACTATGATACCAAGAAATATGTTTCAATCAATGTTTATGCATTATCCAAAACATCAATATTGTGCTGTTGATATTTTAGAACAAATGGAAAATAATGGAGTTATTCCTGATCCTGAAATGGAATCAATGTTATTGAACATATTTGGCAGACATGGAATACCTACAGAAAAATATTGGAAAATGATGTATTGGTTACCAAAATTCAAAAATTTAAATCCATGGCCTGTACCAAAACCTATACCTGATGATGTATTAGAATTGGCTAAACTTGCGATGATTAAGATTTCTTCTGTTGATGTACGAAGTTCAATTACAGTCTACGATACTATTGAGATTGAAAATTCTATTGAAGAAACTTGGATTGTATCTGCTATTGCTCCAAAACAAAGTGAATTACTTATACAGCATAATAAAAAAATTCCAATTTATGTAGAAGGCCCGTTTCGAATTTATGTTGCTATAAAGGCTGTAGATTATTTTGTTTTAAAAACAAAACCACCAATATGTAGAAAATATCCAGAATATGAACCAGATGGTAATAATTTAATCAAAGTTTAATATTTTCTTTTTATGCTTTTCCTTCTGTTAATATTATTAATTATTAAATTATAGCTGTTGACAAAATACAGAATCCTTATTTAAGCAGAAAATCTAAGGATATAATATTGCCACCAAGTGTACATGAACAAGTTGATGCTACTATTTTTGCTATTTGTGCTACTGGAACATCTTCACATGATTCACTCTTGTCTTGGATTAGATTCTTGCAAAATGAAAATCCTGTATTAGCTGAAATTCCCATTGTCTTTACTCTTAAAACTTCTTCTAATGAAAAATTGTTTATTGAAAGTAATAAGCCAAAACTACCTTCTGACGCATTAAAGAATAATAATGATAACGAACTGTTACAAGGATAATACAACTTTTAATAATAGTGCATTAAATATATATTTAAAAAATTACAAGATATATTTATTCTACTTTACTCTAATTTAATTTTACCGAAAACGTAATATAACTAGTAGTGCATAAAGATCGCTATTTTATTAAACGATTTAAATACAAAGTATTACTAAGTGTTTTAAAAAATTTACAAAAGTTATTCACCATTAGAAAGTGGAATGGAAGCATAATAATGTATGAAATTTCAATAGATAAATGAACTTCCGGTTGCGCAATCCATGACGCTTCAATTCTCGTTTTCACGAGTTATGGAAAAGTATCCAAATTTTTTATTACCGCAGTATTGTCGAAGCGCCTGCTTCGAACAAACGTGCATTCTATTCCTCAGAGAGCTGCTTTAATTATTATACATTGAAAAAAAAAATGCATTGTTAACTGAATTATATATAATCTTAATAAACTATTTAATTTTCTATTTAATTGTCAATAAGACTATATTTACAGTACAGAAAAGTATATATATTTAAATATTGAATTTCTATTTAATCAATTCTTTTTCTAAAAATTACTGAAACCACAAAAATGACAAGAATTGCAGCAACGTGTAAGTATTTATTTTTTATTGTGATTGATGCTTTAATATGTTAGATTAAAAGCGAATGTTATTTAATATACCAGGGTAAGCAAAGGATATTATTAACAGTAATTATAATCAATTAAGTATAAACTAATTTTTATATTTGTTGAATTGAACAAAGTTTCATTATAATAATATTTTTATATTTTATAAATCATCAAAAAACATCTTTCAAGTTTTAAAATGTTCACAAGTTTTGTATTGCTTAATCATTAGAAATAAATTTATACGCGGATTTTAATTTTGAACAAATTTTCTGTTTTTTTCATATTTATTTTAATTTAATAGTTCTATTATTTAAAAAATGGTCCTAAAGAAATTTCGCATAAATAAATAGTTTAATTTTTAATCGTTTTTAATTTAATGGAGTAAATAATGGATTAAATAAACAATGAAAAAAGTTGTATAAGATTATTTATAACTAAAATAAAAAAATAAAATCATTTCGATTTAAATAAAATAATAGTTATCTGGAGAAAAGAGTAGCGTATCTATTAAAAAAACATGATGATATCTATTAAAAAAAAAAAGAAATGAGTACTCCCAAAGTAATAATTATAAAAAAGAACATGGTAAATTACATTTAGAAATAAAGATTAAAAAATTTCTGTTAATATATGAAAAATTGTATTTTATGAAAAAGATTTTTAATGATTATACTTTTTCTCAAATTCTTACGTTATTCTGATACATATTAAGTACAATGAACTCAGATTCTTTTATAAATCATATATAACGTCTTTCACTAGTATTAAAGACTCTTTAACTGTATCTGTTTCAATTCGTGACGATGCGATGATTCGTGATTCAGTTGAAGCTTATCTTTAAACAGAATTTAAAGCAGATGAAATGATGTTTGATTTCAATGTCGGTACATAGTTGTATTTATTGTTATAATTTCTGCAGTTATTAAGACTCGCAAATACAACAATCATTTAAAATTTTCTTACTATTACTTAAATTTTTATGCCTTCCATTTAGTTTTATTTTGCATGAATTTAAATAAATGATTATTTGATCTCTGCTTATTCTTAAAAATCTTATTTATAAATGTGTTTATAAGTAAATATAAATTTATTTTCGCCTTAACTTAAGACAAAGATAAAAAAATATTACTTTTATTATTAAAGTAAAAAATAATAATTAGGTATAACATATATAACAATTTCAATTTTTACCGAACAAAATTATTTCTTATATATATTTAGTATTTTTTAGATAGACTTTTAAGAGAACTGTTTTTTTAGCGGAAATTATATTAAAAACATTAAAATTAGTGTTTATTTAATTCAATATTTTAAAAGGCTATTTATATGTTAGAAATTTTTTTAATTACAAATAATTTATTTAAACATATCAAAATATATGATAAATTATTCACATTAATATAATTTATTAAATATTATATGAATATAAATAAAACAAGAATCTGGTTGTTATTTCATTATAATGCCAATGAAATCATAAAAAAAATCATTTAATGTTTGTTATTAATTATATTATGTTTCCTTTTTTGATTATAGTAATTTTATTAATTTAAATAACAAATAAAAAAATTAAATTCATAAATTATTTTAATTATGAATTTACAAAATCTTTTTATATGTTTTTAATTAAAAATAATAACAGCATATTATTTACAATATTGTATAAAATTATTATTATAAAATATCGTAATAAAAAACACAATTTAATAATATGGTTATTTTATTTAGATTCATCTAAAATTAAGCAAAACAAAATATAATTTTTTTAATCCATTTTAAAGTTTTTTACAAAAATTAATATGAATTTAATTACGATTGAGTATATTTAAAATATAGACAAAAATATAAAAATAATATATTAAATTGAATACGTCATAATTTAATTCTAATAATAAATAGCATCGTATTCTAAAATAAAATTCATATTTTTAAAATAATAAAAATTTTAAAATGAGTTTTATATTATTATATAATTAAGCAATTATAAATTTGTACATATATTAATGAACTTTTACAACTTTTGAGAATAAAATTCTTCATTGTTTTGGTCTTTGACGTGTCAAGGCCTTTTATTTGCAGAAATATTGTTGTGTTTAAAATAAGAAAACTAGTTTTTTACATGAGATTTTGGCTTTTGAGAAGAAAAATTTTGTTTAGAAAATTCAACAAAGATATTTTAACAATTTAAACATTTCGTTTAAATGTTAAATATGCAATTATTTATGAGCCAACAAACGAATAGATATTTTTAAGTAGAATTTTAATTATATTGTACGTGATTACAATATATCATATATCATTATGTGTATGATATATATATATATATAATATATCATTAATATTACAAACTAAACAATTCAATTTTTGAAGGACCAAATTAACGTTTTCAGTAGTAAAAAGGAACCTATGTTGCAAACAACTACGAAATTTCTACAATACGGGAATTCATAAGGAAGCATCATTTCCAACATGTGATTATACGCCTTCTGTTTATAAAGTAAGTATACAAATGTTAATGTTTAAGTAATAATAAGATTCATCTACATATATTTAAGTTTTATACGAAAGACTGACTAACGTGGGAACGGAATTTATATAATTAAGCAGGTAAATATTGGTTGGCATAAAAAGTATTTATTTGAATAAAGCATAATTTTAACGTTGTCAGTATAATTCTAATTGATTATTTAAATATTGTGTTGTTATGCATTTGTAAATTAATATTTTCTTTCGTAATTATAAAACGATGTGCATTTAAATTATCAGGGTGCCAGCTATGAGACAATAATAAAATCTAGAGAGAATTACGTAATACCGAGTCAGAAACCTTATTACAAAAAGCCATTGTTATTACACGAAGGTCGAGGCCAATGGGTCTGGGATAACGAAGGACGTCGATACCTCGATATGTTTGGCGGAATAGCAACTATATCGGTCGGTTATTGCCACCCGTAGGTTCTTACGATACTTCGATACCATAAGAAATAACAGCTTAAAATTATTTTTAAATGTGAGTTCCATTCATAGAAAAGTAGTATGTGCAATGTCGGAGCAGTCGTATAAGCTGGGGCATGCGACTGCAGTGTATCTGCATCCACGTTACCACGAGTATGCAGAGAAATTGACGAGTCGTCTGCCTCCGGGCTTAAGCTGCGTATACTTGACTAATAGTGGCTCTGAGGCTACGGAACTTAGTATACAGCTCGCACGGCTGTACACGGGCCGCAACGAAATAATCTCCCTTAAAAATTGTTACCATGGGGCTACTGCCGTTGCCGCTGCTACAACTGCTATATCTACCTATAAGTATCCACTTCTCCTGCCTCCTGGACATATTCATGTTTGTACAAGTTCCTAATGTTTTCGCCGTTATAACATGAATATATATATAAGTATATGACATGAAGCTGGATAGACGGAAAGTAAATAATAAGGAAAATATTAAGGCTTAAAAGAAATGAATGCTTTTAATGGTAGTCGATTTATTTTAAAAATTTACGTAGATATAAAAAATCCAAAATTTTAAAAATTATCACCAAGAATTTTTCAAACTTACCTAATATAAACCATAAACTATAAATAATCGATGGATGAGATATTCGCAGGTGACTAATCCAGATGTGTACCAGGGCCCCTGGGGTGGCTCTAATTGTCGGGATAGTCCTGTGCAAGCAGGAAATAGGATATGTAATTGTGCGGAGGGCAAGTGCCAAGCGGAAGATAATTACTTTAAACAATTTCAAGACACGTACGAATCCCTTGTGCCTGCAGATGGTCAAATAGCGGCTTTTATCGCCGAGAGTATTCAGGTAAATAATTTATATTTAGGAATTAATTTTGCTACCACGTTCCTTTCTTTCTTTCTTTCTTTTTTTCCTTTTCTATCGTGTATCCATATTTTGCTTTTACATTACGTATTAAATATAGTTCTTTTCAATAATATATGTACTAAAAATTGCTTCAAGCTTGTTCATTTATACTACACTTTCGTAATTAAGTAATATATATAATAAACGATCACATAAATAATTACATTTATAATTGATTTTTTCATCGTATTAACAATACTTGTAAAATTTTGAGTTATGATATTAATTTGAAATCGATTAATGTGCATAATTGTCACGTTAAAAGTTCTTTTTATTTATGAGATATAACTAAACCTTATAATAAGACACTTTAAGTTTTCTTGAAGCAGCTGGCTTTGTAAGAAAAGCAGGATGATATGTTGACAGGGCGTTGGCGGTACGGTGCAGTATCCACGTGGTTACCTAAAACGCGTGCAAAAGCAAGTACACGAGCTTGGAGGTATTTTTATTGCGGACGAGGTACAAACAGGTTTCGGAAGAACAGGTGGGAGTTTCTGGGGCTTCGAAGGCCACGGCCTAAATCCTGACATCGTTACCATGGCCAAAGGCATCGGCAACGGGTTTCCCCTGGGCGCAGTCGTCACTAGGCCCGAGATTGCTCGAGCCCTCACCAAGGCCCATTACTTCAATACTTACGGTGGCAATCCGATTGGATGTGCCGTTGGTGCTGCCGTCCTTGACGTGAGATTTTATTTTTAACCACCTTTGACTTTTGATCTTGACCTTTGTTGTGGCTCTTTTAACGAACGAATTTCAATTAAGCTTTAACAATGGACATTGCATTGGAATGGTCAATTTCTTCCTTCTAATGAATTACAATGGTACGCATTATGTATCCACAAGAAGTCAGTGCTGTTTTATAATGCTTTAACTTGCAACTTGCGATTCTTTTTTCTTTAGCCTAAAAAGTATTTTCATATATCTTCGGGAAAAAAACATGAATGAGGTAATTAAACAAATATATTATAAATATTTTCAAAAGTCAAGCTCAATACAATTAATTACATCTTGTGAAAATAAAAAGTATTTATGGAAATTTTAGGTAAATATAAAAAATGTTATTTAATCGTTATGACGAGAGATATAGCATCACATTAATTATATTTATTAGTAAATAATCTTAAATAAATATTATTTCTATGTTTCCTTATAATTAAACAACTATTTTTTTCAAATAAATTACTTTATCAAATATTGAAATTTTGTGCAAAAAATGACAATTCAATCAATAATCTAATCAAAATAACATTGAAAAATAAAATCATTAGACGTTACGTTTTGTCATTTTTAGTCTTTCAAAATTAAAATTATTACATTTTGTAAATTATATAGATAATTGAAGAAGAAAGTCTTCAAGAAAATGCTTTGAATGTTGGAACTCACATATTGTACAATTTGGCTACTTTGATCAAAGAATTTCCATCAATTATGGGTGATGTCCGGGGAAAAGGGTTAATGATCGGTATTGAACTTGTAAATGATTCAACAACGAGAGAGCCCTTACCACATGATGAAATGGCTCAAATTTTCGAAGATATCAAAGATATGGGAGTTTTATTTGGAAAAGGTGGAGTTAAGGGAAATGTAAGCTTCAATGAATATTCAATTAAGCAAGCTAGTATCGAATTCTTCTCTTTATTAAAATTTAAATTAAAATCAATATTGTATATATGAAAAAAATAATTTTTTCTTTATTTTTAATAGTATATATTTACATTAGCAATATTTCATTAAACACCTATAGGTATTGAGACTTAAACCACCACTTTGCGTTACAAAAGAAGATGGAGATTATGCTGTTGAAGTTTTAAGATCTGCGTTAAAAAAACATCAAACAAATATAAAATGTTGAGCAAAAGGATAAAATAATCTATACAAATCTACATAAAAACATCCTGTTAAAATGAATGTACGTTGGTATATAGAAGCATAATATGTATATGTATATGATATATTATATAAAATAATATTAATTAATATTAATATTATTAAATAATATTAATAAAAAATATTGTATTTATAAAAATATAAAAATATGTATATATTATTGCCATAGTTACTCAACGCTAAAATTGATTAATTGCAACCTTACAATTTTGATAACTCCTTAAATTCATTACAATAATCTAGATATACTTAATTATTTCTTCGTTATTCAATTATATCAAAAATAGGAAAATATCAGTTTAAAACAAATAACTAATTAAAATATATTAAAAAAACAAATGACCGAGTTAATAAAAAAAATAATTATATTTTGTCACATACTATACAAATGATACTTAAATATTCTACGTACAATACTTAAATTTAAGATGATAATTATAAATAGTTCAAATAACATTCAATGTGGAAGACTGCAAAATCAGATTATATATAAAAATTATTAAATTAAAACTTTTGTATAATGTATGATGTATATTTAAATTTTAACATTTAACCAAATGATAAACTTATATATCATTATCAATAATAATTTATAAAATTATTATTCATAAACCAAATACTCACTGTAATTCGTTGTACAATATCCGAATTAGAATGAATATAAATATATATACACACATACTTGTGTAAATGAATCTGTAGGTATACATATAATCTTAAGCAATTATACCATTCCATTCATACATATTTGAAGTACAGTCATGTATGCTCAAGTTTTCATTACTTTTTTTACAGTTTATACTAAGATAAACTCTGCCTTAGTTCAAAAAAGTAGATAGATATATTTATTTTTGAAGCATATTATTTGGAATAATAAAATGTATAAAAACATTAATAAAATAAAATAAATAAAGAAAATATAAACATTCAAAATTTTAGGAAGCAGTAATTGTTTATATAATAAAAGCAAATTCCAAATAAATGCAAATATCTCATATAAAATGCAAACTATAAAAATGAGATATGTTGGCACTTTCTTGATTCCGGTTTAGGGTAGCAAGAAATAGAAAGTAATAGGCGTTTAAAGTTAAAAATATTTAAAATTAGTAGTATATAAAAAGCATATCCAGATACATTGAAAAGAATTACAGATTATTTTTAACGATTAGAATAGCTAATACTTTTCTAGAATTGCTAACTCATAATGCAGAACATACTTTAAATATTTTTGGATATAATATTCTTTTCAATATACCTGTTCTATTATTAAAATTAAAATCTTTGGAAATTCATGCTTCTTAATAATAGACTCAGGTAATTAAATTATTAAGTAATATTTTAGAGTCTGCTGAAGTATCAAGAAAACAGTGTGGAGATTCCGCTACTGATGCCAGATCAGCTTCAAGTAAAGCAAGGTGAAGTTCCCTTCTAGCTTTTTGAACAACATACACCATTAATGAAGCACCAATTAAAATCTGTAATTTTATTGAGTTTGTAGCTAATAATATCTAGCCTATAAAGGAATATAATTTAATAAATGAATTATTTACCTGAAAGCAGAATACAATGTATCCTGTTGTAGCTGTTGATTTGTCTTCCAAAACATCTTGCATAGAACGCAAACTGCTACCCAAATAGACATTAATTAATTGAGCTGGAAGCAATCCAACTGCACTAGCTGCATGATATCTTATACCTTTTATATTGCTTACCTATAATTAAAATTAATATTAAATATTAATTTAAAGACTTTATAAACCAATGATAAATTAAAATAAAATCTGATAAACTCACAGCAAAAATTGTATTTTGTAAGCCAAATGGAATTGGAGTTAGTCTTGTAAAAAGTACAACCTTAAATGCTTGAGGTCCTGAAATTACTCTAAGTATAGCTCTTGCAGTATCACTTTGCAAAAGTGATCTGATTGGGCAACTAGATGACAGAGCTCCAAGAACAAAATGAGCAATAGCAATACCAAGATTAGCTGAAAGTACTACCATGGCTATTCCTTGAATAATTCCAAACAGATAACCACTAGCAATAATTAAAAATAAATATCCAATGGCTATGGGAAAGGAAACAACAGTAAAAAGAGTAATCATTATTATTGTGACTATCCAAGTATTTTGATGTTCAATTAAACAAAGAAGTATTTTAATATAGTCACGACATATAAAAACAATAGCTCCTAAAAATGCTAATGTTGCTATTATTACGATAACATAACATATTGAGTTTGAATTTATATAACTTGGGCGTATAATTGTATAATTTTTTGATGGTCGAATTCCAGCATCAATCTCCTCAATACTAATCATGTCCATTATGATGTGAATGGAATTAACCTAAATATAATAATAACTACATAAATGGTAAATTGTTTGACAATAACTTTTTACTATTTTGAGAAAAAACTTACACAACAATTTTTTGTTGATTCTTAGAATTTTCTCAGTCATGGACTATTTTGTATAATTAAAAAATTTAAATTTTGAAAATGATATCGTCTAAGTTTAGAAAAATAAATAAAAGGCATGATGCGAATTGATTGCCAAATGACAATTTCTTTCGTTTTTACATTTCACTTGTATAACCTGTAAAATGTTTATTTTTGTATAATTCTCTTTTCACTCATGACAATTAAATGTTTATTAAAACAAAACACAAATTTTCTTTTACTCATCAAATCAAGATGAATTTATGATATATAATCTTGTAAAACGTAATTAATAATAATATATTAATCGAAACATTATTTACCGTTTGATGTGCGCACGACATATAAAGCTCATTTACACATAAAGTTTAAACACAAATTGTATTTAATAGGTTGGCTGCTATCAAGTAAAATACTGAATAAAGGCTTCCACACAATAGTATTGGAAATATTTGTCTAACTTCTATGACAGATTTTGGCTCTGATTTAAATGATTTATGGATATTGTAAAAAAGTAAAAATAATGTATAAATTTATCCGAAAAGTTCTTTATAATTTATAAGAATTCTTTGTAATTTAATATGTAAAATTTTAGTTTTATTTCAATATTTTATTTTACTCATTATTAAATATTATAATTAATCTTATTCATTAGTATCATTTACAGATTTAATTACATAGTATTCCTAAGGCACAGTATTTGGCAACAATAATTTTTATTTTTCAGTGTTAGATAAGACATAAAAAGTGTACATGGCACTTCTATATTTAAATTAAATTATTTTTTAATTTTTAAAAACATTCATATAATCGAAATACATTACAGATAACCTAGCTTTATAATTATAGATCAATATACAAGACAATATTCTTGTATCTCAATCATTAAATGTTAATTATCAAACTACATCACCATTATTATTATTTGGTTCTTGTGGTGAAACGATAACAGTAGATAATAACTGTAAGGCTAAATTGCGCCTTAATGTATTTAAATCTGCCAATACTTCGTTTGATGATGAAGACATATCATAAGCAAGTCTGTTAAATTCCTGTTGATCATTTGGATTAAACTGTGCTGCTTGTTGAATGGGATCTTCTACATTTATTTGTCTTGAGGAATTTGGAAAATTCTGTTCTGTAATTGTAGTTGGAACAGCAGGTTCATTAATTTGAGTGCTTGTAACAGAATCTATTAACCTTCCTAAATTTGAATCTGAACTTGTCCTTCTGACATTTGTTTGATTTAACATATTTGCATAAATTCCCATATGTCTAAAATTTGCAAAATAAGGTGTATATCGATTATTATTAAGAGACAGTCTTCTTGATAATAAGGTTCTTTCCATATTATCTATTCTGTTTTGTTGCCTCCTGAAAGATGGTGGTAGCCAATCTATTATAGCATTTCTGAGTCTATTTTGCTGATTTTGAAATTGATTGGCTGAGCTACTTAAATCATTAGATGAATTTATAGAATCAAAAGAATTCCTATTATTTAATGTACTACTGAGTGACCCTAAAGCATTTTGTGAAATATTTGCTTGCATATTATTAAAACGAAGAATAAATTCAAATATACTATTTCCTTGTTGATCATGTGATTGGTTATGATTATTAGGATATAATTCACTTATATTTGTAGGTGGAGCAGATTGATTTTCTTGAGCAGGACCTACAATATTTTCTTATGTAAATCATTGAGATTATATTTTTTATCGGTAAAAAATAATTGTATTTATTGTACTTACCAGTATTTATGCATTGATTAAAATTATTTGCCAACCATGGTATATTTCTATTGAGTACATTTCCAGAATTCATGGTTCTATTATATTCAAATGTTGTAGGTATATTATTAAATGAATTTCTTGATAATCTAGTAGAATTTCTAGTCATGTCAAGTAAATATGCTTCATTTCCTAATTGTAAATTACTGATAGAGTTAGAAGTTGATCTAGATGTAATTTGTAAATTTGAATTTATAGGACTATGTGTTTGAACCGAAAAAAGTCCATCATTCAGTATATTATTATTATTATTATTATTATTAATATTATTATTATTATTATTATTATTATTATTACTGTTACTGTTATCATTATCATCATCCTCCTCATCATCATCATCATTGTCATTATGATTATTATTGCTGTTATTATTACTGTTGCTGTTATTATTATTTATACCACTAGTACTGCTATTGTTATTACTATTACCGCCACTGCTACTACTGCTGCTACTGCTAATGCTACTACTACTACCACTACTACTACTTCCAGTAGATAGCGATTGGTAATTTGTTGAATAGTCTCTAGTTGGAACATTGATTTGATTACCACCGTTATTTCTATTTCTTAATGAGCCTCTAACCCTCAATAAAATTCCGTCATTTCTATTATTTGGATTATATGGAAGTTGACGTTGATTATCTTTTGGTATAAGATGTTTGAACTTATCTAATTCAGTTGCAGTCAATTCCCTAGCATCAGTATCTACTTTATAAACTGGAATTTGATTGTATAGTCTTGGCTGCGTAACTAAAGGACTTGGTTGTTGTTTCATCATTTGATGCATTTGTTCCTAAATAAAAGTAAAATAATAAATTTTAATAATATATTTATTAATATCTTTTATTAAATACATTATCTCTTCTTAGCATTTTTATATAACATATACATACTTGTATTGTAACTTGCTTTGAAAAATCTGTTAAAATCTTTATATGTGACATAATATCTGCTTTTTTCTCGATTTTTTTATCACAATTTTCTTCATTTATACTATTTATAATATCAGGTACAACTTGTTCTTCTTCATCTTCTTCAATAGGTATAGGCACTTTAAAAGTAGCTATTATCGTTGATAAAGAATCAAGAACTTGAACTGCAGTTAAGCGTTTACTTGGTTGAAGAACCAATAGTTTTGTTATTATTGATACAGTTCCTTCAGATACTCTACCATCACTGTAAAGATATAAATTATCTAAAATTATTGACGAATTTTAATTGGCAATAAAAAAATTTCGTTTTTATACTTCGGTACATAATAGCTTGCTGCTTTTATTTTACTGAATAATTGTGTGGGACTACTATCATAAAATGGAAATTGCCCATATAACATAGTATACAATACAACTCCTAATGCCCACATATCTGAAGGCTTTCCAAGGTATGGTTTGCCACATAGAACATCAGGTGAAATGTAAGCAGGTGATCCACGTTGATCTTTTAATAAATCGTTTTCACAGGACAAGTGTTTTCCCAAACAAAAATTTGTAATGGTAACCTATTTATAAAAAATTAAAATATTATTAAAAATAAAAATCGAATAACAAATTACTTACCTTTCTTGTTCTGCGATTTAAAACCAAATTTCCTAATTTAAGATCTCTATGAACTATATTTCTCTTGTGTAATGATGCAACAATTCTTACAGTATCAATAAATATTAAAAGGCTTTCTTTTTCTAATAATTTTTTTTCTCTTATAACATAATGCTGTAAATTTATCAATTCATCACTGTTTGGATTAAAATCATGACAAATTAAACAATCCAAAACTAAACACAGTCTCTGTCTGGTTCTTCCAGTATATACAGATCCTGAATTTGTAATTTTTTCTTCCAAAGCACAATCCTGTAAAACAAAAGTAAATTAAATAAATTTTTATGTTATAACAAATTGTAAATATATATAAAAATATATATTTTTATTTTATGTACCTTAAAAAATCCATAATGATGGACAACCCCATCTTGATTTTGTAATAAACTCAATAACGAGTATTCTGAATGTAATAACATTTTACCTTGTCGGTCATCCTGAGTTTCATACTCCATCGAATCTTTTAAAGTTAATATTTTAATAGTATAATATTTGTTGGTTCCCTCTTTTCTAGCTAAACACTGGATAATACTTTGAACAGGAGATGAACCGATCAAAGGTCCTAAAATATATGGTCCAGCTTTTTTAACAACTTTTGGACAAACTAAAGTTCCAGGTTTTGGAATTTCATTATTTAAAATAGCAGTTTTTAAAACAGTTACTTCAGATTCAGCATTTATATTTAAAAGTTTTTTCATTTTGAAAAATTCTTGGTCAATATCTTGCTTTGAATCATGTAACTCTTCCATCATTCCTATATTTTTTGAGCATGTTGGTAATCTAAGGTGTCCATTTTCATCATTATTTACTCTTATATAAGGCTCAATTATATTATCTTCATGTGATTGACTAGGTTGATTACCCACATTATCTAATGTCACATCTAAATTATTGTACGATTCACTTCTGTCTGTTAATTCAATAGAATCAGTTATAACGGAAGGATGTGTAATTCTATTAAAGTTTTGATTATTGGAAGCCGAAGACATTCTAATTAAGTATGTAACACTTTTCACATTGTTTATACTTTCGAAACTAAATATTTACACTTGTTAATTTTTATAATTTCAAAATAATTTATGTATTATTTACATTTATAATAAATATAGAAAATCATTGTACATGAATAATGTTATATTTATATAAAATTAAAATCAATCAAAATTTCTAATATTTTTGCATTTTAATCATAAAATAATAACGATTTAAATATTATGGTAATAAAATGCACTTGCTTCCTTAGAAAGTGAATTTCTTCAATCCATAAACTAAGAACTAACCTTTAGAGAAACATTTACAGAAAATAACAGATAAAAAAATAAAAACATTTAAATTCTTTTTTAATTAATCAACAATTATGATATTAAAGATAATTTATAAAATTAAAATTATGTTATTAACTAATAAAATCTTTTAATAGCAGTTTTTACTTTAGAAAAAGGATTTTGGATATGTTTTCATTCTATTCTTTATGTTCCCATATTACTATGCTTTTAAAAATATACTATATGAATGAGGCTTCACGAAGATCCATTAGATGATGTAAATTGCTAAAAATTATTTCAGAATATCATGGCATTTGATTTGTATATAAACGTTCAAGATAAAAATATAGTCATATTAAATGTTTGATTATAAAAAATTATTTAAATTATAAAAAGTTAATTATGCATCGAAATTTTTCTGAATAATATAATAATTTTATTTTTTACAAAATTCATATAAATACTTAAAATCTATTACAAGTATAACGTAATTTTACTAACATATCATTTTTGCATAAAGTATAAATTTACATTTCAAAACATATTACTAACATTTATTTTTTATTATTATAAGTTTACTAATAATAACATTAATTTGTAGATTAATTATTATACAGTAATTTTTTAAAATTGGTATGATATTTTTTCTCCGTAAAGTAAAAAAAAAAAATAATTTTAATTTAATTCTTTTTTACGAAAATATTTCAACATTAAATTTATGCAACAAAAGATCAAATATTTAATGTAAATTGAAAAATTATCTGGGCACTAAATTCGTATTTGATTTATCATGGTTCTAACAATTTATTCTAGTAATATTTAAAAATTGTTCTACTTATTACAATTAAAATTTAATAACAAATATTTAGATTAAAAGCTAAATAACAAATATTTAGATATTTGTTATGAAATTAATATATAAATATATATCTGAAATATTTCTGGAAACATATTTTATATTTAATATAGAGTACAAAATAATAACAATTTAAAATTGTAAAAGTATTACTTTTTATTGTATTGCTATTTTATATTTTACTTTTTGAAATACAAAATTATAAAAGTTAATTTGTCTATGGATGATATAAATGATATTTATCTGCACCAGTTAATAGAATTTTATAAATTCAATATCCATTTTTAATTAATATCCTCTCTAATTTTATTTAAATTTGATAAATTCATCAAATAATAAAATTATAGCATTTTTTTTGTTTAAAAGAATTAAAATTCTATTAAAATTATTCTTTTATATTATTATAAAAGTGTAATTCAAAGGAAGGCTTTGTTATGAGAAAAATACCCTTGCATATAACATCATTTTTATGACATCATTTAATATATAATATTTAATTTGATAAAAAATAATTTTGAGATGAAAATCTTGAGTTCTATGATTTCTTTAAAAAACATTTAATGTTATTGGTTAAAATATTAAAATTGGAGTATATGAATATACATATTTTACATATATTTTGCATTACTATTGTGTAGTTACATGTTAAATACTATTATTAATAATTACTTGTTAATAATAATTACTAATAAATATTATTTAAAATCATATTCAATATTTTATACATTTATTTATAAAGTTTTATTGTTTGCTGTAGTAATTTTTTAAACTGTAACATTTATTTTAGTTAAACTATGAAAGAAAAAATGTATGCTTTAATATTTTTTATAATATTTTTATTTTACTTTATTTTTATTTATTATTAGGTAATTATAGTACCATGTAAAGCACGACGTTAACAGTAATTAAATATATGATATGAAATTATAATCAAATAATTTAAAAAGAAAATTGGAAAAATATTAATATCAACAATTTTTAATATAATTCATTGAACGTTTAATAATATATGTCATTTTATTTCTTAATAAGAATATCTTTCATCAATTTGTCCATTCAAATTTCACTTTAGTTAATTTTATTTTTTAAAATACAGAAATTAATTATACAAAATACTGATGAAAAATTATTAATGCTGAACTTAATGCTGAAACTTAAACGCATAAAGTTAAATATTTAAAAAAAATTTTATGAGTTACAGGTTTAATGTTTCTAAAAATGATATAACATAAAAAGTAAAATATAAAAAGTAAAGACATAAAAGTTAAAAAGTAAATTTTAATCAGGTTTTTATATATTTATAAAAGTGTTAAGTAAATAGTCTGCTTTTCTTCATTATATTTGATATCCAAATATATTTTCTGAAGTTATATAAAAATATATTTGAAAGTGGAGTGTGAATGCGTTCTGTTATACTTGTGAAATTTCATATTAAGTAGTACGTAAAATCTACTAATATAATAATAACTAATTATATATAATATATTGATTGTTATCTTTTATTGTAATTGTAACATATATTGCAATTCTAACATTTTCATTATTCTAGCTTTATAATAATTAATAAATATTACTATAGTTGTACTGAAATAGATAAAATATATCATTTATAAGAAAAAAGTATTTTCTAGAATAGTATTATAATCTATTTAATGTGTGTGTGGAGGGGGAGGGGATATTTAAGAAAATACAAACGATTATACCACATGATACAATATAGATTTGAAAAGAAAAAGTATTTCTAAAAATATCCTATAATAAATAGAATAACCATAATCAACGTATCTTAAGTGTTAATATGTTGATGTGTATTTTTAAGGAACAATAAAATATATACAACAAAATTAACAACATTTCAAAAAAGAGAGACTGCTTATACGTTGGCTAAAACTAATGCCAAATAGTTCGCAAATCGCATAGTTGTTTTTTGTAATCCAAGTAATCGAGTAAAAATATTGCACTTTTATTTTTTTACTACATAACACAATTGTAAGCCTTAATTTTATTGAACTTTGTCGATGATCAATATTTTTATTACAAAATAAAATTGAATTTTTTTTTTTATTACTCTATTGTTTTCGTTTAAAGCAATAGTTGATTTTCTTTACCATACAGTAATTCAATTCTAATTTACTCCAAGATCATTTCTAAATTCAACGCCATCAATCAATGAAGTGACGTATATTATTCTACTTAGAGTGCTTTTCTATAAAAATATATTTTATAACCATTATATGGATGTAATAATTTATAATTTATAATAATAATAATAATTTATAATTGATTTATAATAATTTAAAATAATTTATAATAATTTATAATAGCACTGCAGAGTAGACAAATTTTGAAAGCAGAAACGAATTCTAAAAAATTCTATAAAATGTTATCATTACATTTTAAGTTATATTCTATCACTTACACAGTAACGTAATAATATTAAATAACGTATAATAGACCAAAAACAATATGAAATAAAACGAAAATAAATTGTAGAATTTTTTATTTTTGCAAGTACTTATATGAGTGACAATAAATTGATGCTTTCCACATAGTCGTTATTTGCTTATAGTTAAAATCTTCAGAATAATTATAATAATATGTTATCAATTCATGAAAATCAGTTGACACTCGATTCTAATCAGGGATATAACAAAGGAGTAAAAGATATGACATGCATACAAATTTTATCTTTCAGTTCTGTATGTTTTAATAAAACATAAGTAATATACTATTCTTTATAGGTAAAAGATACTAAAGCATAATATAATCATAATATAGTAGTAAATAATAAGCAGTAATATACATATCAATATAATTATATTTGTTCCAAGAGTATGTATACACTCATTGTAGCAATTACATTGTTATATTGAATTTGAATAAATTTTTTACATTATGAAATAATAAATAATAAATAATGAGTTCTCAAGTAATCAAAATTTGTTTTGAATAAAACATTATAATTAATATGCTATGTCTATTAATTATAACGTTGATACTAAAGTTTATGATTGAGATTGAGTTATTGATTGCATATATTTATAAATATCTTTAAATAAAAAAAAATTAACAAAATTATGCAAGATTTAGGGCGAATTTCTGGTATATCTTTTATATGGTTTATTAATGCCATCATTAAATCATCAAAAGTGCTAAAATCACATACGTATTTTTTTTTGCAATAAAAAATTATAGTATACAAGAGGTTTTTAATTTTAGTTTTTAATTAGATTTTTAGCTAATATCAAAATTGCACGAAATCTCTTTAATAAGGGATCAACAGCATATATTATCTCTATTGTAGAATTTCGCGAATTATTATCAAAAGTAATCCTTTCGTCCGCGAACATTATGTACTTCTATTATTATTTTAATTTTTCAATTTCTTCGTTTTTCTATATTTATTGAACCGCACCCGCGTTACCTTTTTGTTCCCTCCTTCTCGTTACTTTTACATATATTCTACGGAGTATCTAATTTATAATTTCTGGTTTATTTGTCATTCGTTATTATGTATAAATATTACACCACAAATCTGTTAAGTAAAATATGTTTTACCCTTTTCTAAAGTATATATTTTTTATGGACTTATGAAGAGGCGAGGATAAAGAGTATATTAAAAATTGGAAGATATTTAAATGTATAGAGAAACAGAATATTTTTTATTTTTAAATTCCTTCAAAAATTTTATTTCCTTAAATGGTATTTTTAAATATCATGAATTATATTGATTTTCTAGATTCGAGACACAAGGCATTTAGAAAAATTAAGAGAGTATTTCAAATTATCAAATGTAGTACATTATTAAATTATTAAATTAGAAAATAAGAAAATTCTTATCTAATAAATTAATCTCATAAAGATAGGAGAATGTAATATTTTCAAATTATTTTTCGTATAATTCTTTATGTACACTTTT